TTTGTGTATGGTGTTAGAAAGTGTTCTAGTTTCATTCTTTTACAGGTGGTTGACCAGTTTTCCCAGCACCACTTATTAAAGAGGTTGTCTTTTTTCCATTGCATATTCTTGCCTCCTTTGTCGAAGATAAGGTGTCCATAGGTTCGTGGATTTATCTCTGGGCTTTCCATTCTGTTGCATTGATCTATATTTCTGTCTTTGTGCCAGTACCATACTGTCTTGATGACTGTGGCTTTGTAGTAGAGCCTTAAGTCAGGCAGATTGATTCCTCCAGTTCCATTCTTCTTTCTCAAGTTTGCTTTGGCTATTTGAGGTTTTTTTCTATATCCATACAAATTGTGAAATTATTTGTTCTAGTTCTGAGAGGAATACTGTTGGTACCTTCATGCGATTGCATTGACTCTATAGATTGCTTTAGGTAGTATACTCACTTTCATAATAGAAGGCTTTTTTTAAAGCATGTGGTAGTTGATCTAATATCCAAAGGGAAGAGTAGATGAAAGCCATTCAGAATGTGTGTAGTCAATGGTGGGGGTTGCATGGACCTTCACAGTACTGAAAGAAGGCCACAGAGAAGGCGGAGCTGGAGAGGGAGCTGGCAGCTCGCAAGCTTGGCCACACCCAGCAGCTTGGGACTGGATCCTGGGAGCAGCAAGGCTCCTGGAGATGTTTTAAGCGAGAGAGAGTGGGAATGAGTTTTGGTAAGATTTGGCTTTTAAATTGACTCTGGTTTTGTGGTAGAGAGGAGTCTGGGATGGTGGTGAGAAGAGTTGTTTCTGGAGTCAAGTGGCAGTTGTGAAATTGAACAGAAATGACTGGATTTGAGGGATTTTTTTTTTTTTTTTTAGTTCTACCAGTTTATTGCTACCAACCCATCTCCCTCCACCCTCGTGCACACATGCTCAGTCATGTAACCCCATGAACTGCAGCCCGCCAGGCTCCTCTATCCATGGACTTTCCTAGGCAAGAATACTAGAGTGGGTTGCCATTTCCTTCTCCATGGGGGATATTTTTAGAGAGAAATTTATGACTCATCAAGGTGCAGAATCTGGAGATAAATGAGAGGAACATGTGAAAGATGACTCCTGGGTTCCTAGTTTGTTTGCTGGGTACTAAACTCTAAAAAAGAGCTTGATTTGAGACTTGGGAGAGTTGAATACCAGTCCAGAGTAAGACATAGAGAATTTGTAATTCCTTTGTGAAATCTAGGTAAAAGCATTAAAAGTACATGTATGAGATGGAACAAACGGTGGGAAAGACCAGTGTTACAGCAAATTAAATGACAGAACCTATGTAATATTGTCCTAGAGCTTTGCTGTCCAGTGAGGTAGCCACTGGACACACGTGTGGTTGTTCTTAAAAAGTGATTGCAGTCTTCCTTCCACCTGAGAATCCCGCATATGCGGGTTCAACCAGCTGCGGGTCCAAATATTAAAAAAAAAAAAACTTCAGAAGGTGCCCCAAAGCAGAATTCTACACCTTGGCAACTATTTACACAGCATTTGCATTGTTTGTACAGCTCTTCAGACAGAAGTTTTATTAGTTGTCATAAGTCATCTAGAGATGATGTGAAGAGTACTGGAGGATGTGCATAGGTTGTATGCAAACACTACACCCTTTTATATAAGGGACTTATATATAAGCATCCGTGGATTTTGGTATCTGTGATGGGGTGTGGGGGTTTTCCTGGAATCAGTCCCCTCCAGACACCAAGGGACAGCTGTCGACCAAATTGAGATGTGTTGAAATGTGAAATTGCAAATTTTGAAGACTTAGTACCAAAAAAGGTAAAGCACCTTATTACTAGGTTTCTATGTTGGTTACATTTAAAATGGTAATATTTTGCACATATTGGGTTGGGTTAAATAAAATTATTGTTGAATTTTACCTGTCTCTCTTCTTTTTTAACATGGCCACAAGAAAAATTAGAATTACAGATGTAATGTGCATTAGGTTCTTCTTGGGATGCTGCTGTTCTAATGTCAGCTCTCCTGGGTTAAAAAAAAGCACAGAGACAGGACTGGTAGAAATAAATCAAAATGTCATCTTTTATGGAAATGTTTTTGGTTTAGTTTTATTTTTTAATCTATCTTTTTCAAATTTCATATGAATTATTTTTGGACATTAAAAGCTCTTATGCTTTCTATTTCCAAAGACTGAGGCAATTTGAGCTTTCCCTTTTGTACTTTGTAGAAAACTTGTTTTCCCAGTGCTGTGGCACTTCAGGGAGGTCATCACAGGAGGATAACCCATCCTAAACAAGTACTTTCAAGCATGGCTTCTGTCACCACCTGACACGTGTTCATTATCAGATTTTTATGCTGTATCATTATCTTTAAGGTGCTGAAAATAGTTCTGATACAGAAAGTGCTCCTTCTCCTTCACCAGTTGAAGCTGTCAAGCCTGGCGAAGACAGCACTGAAAATGCGCCTCCTCGAGGGACTGCTGAGGCTGCGGCTGAGCTGGAGGCTACCCCTGACGCCGTGCCCAGGCCTTCTCCCTCGCCGGCAGCTTCGAGCACAAAAGCAGCCGAGGATGACAGTGTGGAAGCCCCGGTGAATGATAGCATCACAGTGGACACGGCCGAGCCGATGGAGGTGGAGCATGAGGAGCGCGGGGCTGAAGGCACTTCTGCTCTTGACCTCCCCTCGGCCGCCAAGGCCGATGCTGTGGATGTTGAAATGCGGGTGCCAGAAAGCAGTCCATCCAGAGTCGAAGGGGACCTCAAAGACAGAGACCTGGAGAGGAGCGGCGAGAAGCCAGAGCCTGGAGAGGATGATCTGGGGGTGGCCCAGCAGCTGAGCGCCCCGAGGCCTGAGCCCCTGTCTGACCACGATTCCAGCGCCACTTGCAGTGCAGACGAGGACGTGGATGGGGAGCCCGAGAGGCAGCGGTGAGGCTCCCTCCTTGACCTCCCCTGTCTTTACTCTGCTGGTTGCAGACTGAACCCAGGGTGGTGCTGGCTGCCAAGGTTGCTCCTGTGTGAATACTGGCCAGTGAGAGAGTCTGTCTGCTTTTACTGTTGGGTTCTGATGCTGGTCACCTGATTAACCAAAAAGAACTGTGTAGTCATTTTTTAAAGACTTTAACTTCTTTCCATATCAATCGTTAGGTACATCCCATATGATAGCAGAGAAGGGCGGTCAGCTCCCAGAGCTGTGACCAGAACCGCAGTTGCCTGCCGCTATGGTGGCCGAGCCATGTGACGTGGTGAAGGGGCAGGCGGGAGGCAGGGGCCCTAGCTCTGCCCTCGGACGGAACAGCCTCGGAGCAAGGCCTCAGTGCCTGTGTGTGAGATGTGAGAGGTGCTGAGGGCGAAGATGGGGACTGGAGGAAAAGTGTGTTAGAAAGCATAATCTGATTCAAGTTAGTGGTAATTGTAATGATCACCTTTTTGTATCACTTAAAACTGTAGATTATTCATATTTGTAATTTAAAGTACAGGTATGATACAAATTAAAACTTAAGTACTTTAGTCAAATTAGTATTAACGGAAATACAATCTTTATGGTTTTTGTAACAATTGCTGTAAAAAAAGTAAATTTTACAGGAGTAGATACTACCTTCTTTAGTATACTCAGTTTCTTGGGTGTTTACTTTTCCTTGAAAGAAATGCAGTCATCTAGAATCACAGTATCACTTGTACCATGTTGAATTGATTGGTGCAAATTGTAGAATGAATTAGACTAAAATGTCATTTGACCAGAAACCCAGCTCTGCTCTTTTTTTCTATTTTCCCCCTTTTTAATAAGAAAAAGGCTCTCAGGAGACAGCCAGATTCTGCTCAGAGCTCCGCTTCTATAGTGTGTCCTGGTGTCACTGTGCTTTTGGTCCATTTCCAGTATATTGTACATCTTATATACTTAAAAATGGGACTTGATGCTAGAATGATACTGAACATAACAGTGATGATTTCCCCAAGGAGATTTTTATGTAGTAGGTAATAGAATTTTAATCAGCAAAAATAGAAATAATATAGGGCTCCTACTTAACATGGTTTTTTCAGAAAATTGAAGGTTCTAGCACTCTTTTTCTCATGTCTCAATACTGTGGATTTTAACTGTTCCAAACTTTAAACATAAATGGATTCAAGCTGTATGGTCCTTTTTTAAGCATGCTTTACTGAAATATGTCATCTAAAATAAGAGTTATGTGTTCTGTGCTGTTGGTTTTAAGTGACTTATTTATAAATTTATGAGTGAAGGGAAAATTAGGATGGCAGTAATCATAAAGGGGAGGAGCACCTAAGGGCTGACTGTGATAGTGGTCGTGAAATTCTGACGTTCCTTATCAACACATGGCACTCTCTGGATGATCCTCTAGTTCACTTCACTTCCAAGCTGTCAAAATGACACTTTCTGTTGTCTCTATCTTTAATATTATCTTGATTCTTTGTGTAAAAAGTTGTTTTCTTTTACACATTCTAGTTTTCCTACCAATTTATACCTTTCAAATGTTCACCTTCCCCAGTAACTGACAACACTGGGAAATATGATGGCGCCTGTAAGGTATAATGTTCCAATTCCTATTCTGGACATCCTTTACTCAAGTGTGGGTCCTGAAACTGAATGAAGTGGTGCAGTGTGAGACAGCAGAGGGTGAACGGGGAGCGCGGACTGGGTAGGGAGCATGGACTGGGTGGGGAGCACGGGCAGCCTTGTGAGCTCAACCTGCTGTTGCCTTGTGTGAGTGCTGCTCTGCGGTGCCGTTTCTCCCCAGTTTTCATGAGAAACCAGGAATCTGGAATTATGGGTGAAATTCTTTTTTTTGTTTGTTTTTCTTTCTTTCTTTTTGGCATTGCTGGGTCTTTGTTGCTGTGTGCAGGCTTGTTTTCGCTAGTTGTGGTGAGTGGGGCCTGCTCTCTGTTGCAGTGTGTGGGCCTCTCATTGAGGTGGCTTCTCTTGTTGTGGAGCTTGGGCTCTAGGCTCAGGCTTTGGTAGTGGTGGTGCTCGTGGGCTTAGTTGCCCTGTGGCATGTTGGGTCTTCCTGAACCACGAATGGAACCCACGTCTCCTGCATTGACAGGCGGATTCTTAACCACTGGACCACCGGGGAAGTCCCTGGGTGAAATTCTTGATTTTAAAATGATGGTGATTTATTCAGATGTTTTAAAAAGACTCTCTCATCTTAGCAAAACACTAGTTTGTAACCTATGTTAATGGTAAATTAGGACCTGACATTCCCTAATGGCCCTTGTTCAGACTGTTCTGTTGGTTAGATGCAGATGAATATCAACCTATAAATTAACATTAGGTTTCTTTACCTGAAAGTTTAGCCTTGTAGATTTTTTTCCTTAGTATTCAAATATGTAAGGTCAATGTGATATATGTTTGTGTATGTGTACATGTTAACTTACAAGGAATTATGGTGATTGTATGTTTAAAGTCTTCAATAAGAATATATTGATTAGTCATTTTTAATTGCATTTTCAGAATGTTTCCTATGGATTCGAAACCTTCGTTGTTAAATCCCGCTGGGTCTATACTGGTCTCATCACCCATAAAACCAAACCCACTGGACCTGCCTCAGCTTCAACATCGAGCTGCTGTCATCCCACCAATGGTAAGTTTTCAATGTGAGTAAGAAAAGTAGAGTTGAAAACAAAGACCTTTAGAGACATTTCTTTTCAAATCAGTGCTTGATTTTTTTTTTTAATTGTAGTAAACATCACATAACATGAAATTTACATCTTAACTCTTAAGTGTGCAGTTCAGTAGGGTTAAGTATATCCATTAAACCATCATTCTCCCCTGCACCCAGCACCCTACACTTTTCTACCTTCTGTTTTATAAATTTGGCTATTTACATAAGTGAACTCATACAGTATTTGTGTTTTTTTGTGCCTGTTTTATTTCACTTTGCCTAATGTCCTCAAGATTATTCATATTGTGGCACATATCGATTTTCCTTCTATTTTAAGACTGTGTGTATAGACCACATTTGATTTATTCATTCATCTGATGAATATGTTGCTTTTTGAAATGAATTCATGTGAGAATTGATTGAAATGATCCATTTCCAGTTAAGGAAAAAAGAGAAATGTAGTGCTCTAGCCATAAATGTTACAAAGTTTTGTGTTTGTTTTGTTTTGCTATAAGATAATAGTAAATATAAATGAGTAAATAGTATATCTAGATGTTGAATGTTTAGAATAAATTATAGAGATTATGGTTAGCTTTAGTATACAGTTCAAACCTAGTTTTATTTGCATTTTACCTTATTAATCTCTGTGAATTTGACTCCCTTTTGATCCTGAATTCTGGTCTTGAGTATTGATCCTTTACTTAGTTATGTTCTAGCTCTTTATTTCAGAGGATAAAAATTTGTTCCCTAGGTCACATGACAATATGTAAAAGTTAAGTGTGTGCCTCTGATAAATAATAGGCTCACCAAAAAAAACATTTGTTCATTCATTGATTTACCCAAATGGACATAAATTGAGGGTCTGCCAAGTTCAAGGTAACATTTTTTTATGTTTTGTGAAATGTCATAATCTCTGACTTCAGAAAATTTAGATTGGTTAGACATAGAAAAAAATCTTGTTTCTTTTTCTGCCTCAACTTTTTTTTTTTTAATATTTATTTATTTATTTTAGTTTTTTTTTTATTTTTGTTTTTTTTTTTAATAGGCTAATTACTTTACATCATTACAGTAGTTTTTGTTATACATTGAAATGAATTAGCCATGGATTTACATGTATTCCCCATCCCAGTCCCCCCTCCCACCTCCCTCTCCACCCGATCCCTCTGGGTCTTCCCAGTGCACCAGGCCCGAGCACTTGTCTTATGTACCCAACCTGAGCTGGTTATCTGTTTCACCCTAGATAATATACATGTTTCAATGCTGTTCTTTTGAAACATCCCACCCTCGCCTTCTCCCAGAGTCCACAAGTCTGTTCTATACATCTGAGTCTTCTTTTTCTGTTTTGTATATAGGGTTATCGTTATCATCTTTCTAAAGTCCATATATATGTGTTAGTATACTGTAATAGTCTTTATCTTTCTGGCTTACTTCGCTCTGTATAATGGGCTCCAGTTTCATCCATCTCATTAGAACTGACTGCCTCAACTTTTAAAATTCATTTATTATAATTGGAGGATAATTGCAATGTTGTGTTGGTTTCTGCCATACATCAGTGTGAATCAGCCATAGGTATATGTGTGTCCCCTCTGCACAATAAAAATTTAAAAGAATTAAAATGTGATGCTCTGTTAGGTTGAAAAATATACTATGAATGATTCAGAGGAAGGAGCACTTCCTGGTTAAAGAGACACTTAAAGAAGACTCATTGTAGGAAATAATGTTTTGATTGGGCCAGTGCAGTTCATTTTGCTTTATAGTAAAAGAAGGAAAAGGCATATTTACATAAAAGCTAAAACCCAAAGGCAAGAAAATTATGTGTGTATTATGAGTGCAGTGAAAAATCCTACCTACAGCAGTGGAAAAAACTGTGGGTCTTCAGATAACAGGTTCTAAAAAGGGTCTGCTCTCTGCTAGTCCCAGGATGCTTATATTCATGAAGTGAGGGGCTGTGTTAGGGGCTGTTTGTTTAGTGTTGGGACAAAGCAGCTTGGATTCTTTTCTTTATGAGGTGGGAGAGAGAGAAAACAGAGAAAACAAGCATCTAAGCTGCCCATGGTGTTGAGTGATGTGCACTGTGAGAGAGGAGCAGGCTGCAGCAAGAAGGAATGCAGGAGGGATGGCAGTGTGGTGTTGGATGGTGGGGCTGGCCTGTCTGAAGAAAACTGGCCTCTTAAGGAGTTGGTGGTGGAGGGGAGGAGCTGGGTGAGGCCAGGGCAGCCGCCAGACTTCTGGCTGAAGCTGCTGGGGTTCTGCCTTGTATGAGAAGCCAGAGAAGTGTTCGGTATAGCAAATGAGAAGCTCCATTTTGAATGTGAGTTTTGAGGTGCTTTGAGGTATCTGAGTGGAGTTGTTAAGGGCAGTGAGTGTGGAACTTGGAGAAAATGTCTCAGAAATATTTGCTTATGAGCCATTAACATAGAGGTGACATTTAAATCCATACACGTGGGTGTGAGCACCTATGAGGGTCAGGAAGAGGGTGGGCCAGACCTGAGCTACCAGGGGCTCAACGTCTTGAGTTAAAAGCAGATGGAAATACTCTGATTTCTGACTTTGATTTGTCTTACCACAACTTTGGGATTTATATCATGTTCAAGTCTGAAAATAATTGTTTAGTGTTTTAAGAATAAAGCTTGAAGATTACTTTGATTAAAAAAATGGTATAACCACTTCAAGCAGTCTGATTATATAGAAATAAGGGTTACTTGCAACAGATGGTAACGGCTACTTTTTGGTGTCTGGCGTATTTAGATTTTTTTCTCCCTATAGGTTTCCTGCACCCCATGTAACATCCCAATTGGGACCCCCGTGAGCGGCTATGCCCTCTACCAGCGGCACATCAAAGCCATGCACGAGTCGGCGCTCCTGGAGGAGCAGCGGCAACGGCAGGAGCAGCTGGACCTAGAGTGTCGGAGCTCGACCAGCCCGTGCGGTGCCGCCCGGAGCCCCAGCAGAGACTGGGAAGGTGGGTAGCGAGCACACCGCCCAGGACACGAATGCAGGTGGTGGGAAACAGCTGCGTTTGAAACCTGGCTCATGGCGCTGTCCTGAAGAGATACAGTTCCTTACCTTATCCTCGGTTAAGACTGTCAAGGGATGTCGGTGTTTTTGATCACTGAAGGATAGCAGTGATGTTTTCTTTTGTTTTTTTTTTTGTTTGTTTGCTTGCTTGTTTGTTTTGTAGCCGTGATGTTTTCAGTAGACTTCTTGTTAATGTGAATTTTGTGATGTTCACCTTACTGCTGATGACTGTGTAATGGCCATTCTTTCTGCTACATTCATCTGAGTTTTCAGAGTCAGTGAGATTTACCTGTCCTCCAAGCAAGTCAGGGAAATATTCTAAATCTCTGATATGGTGAGATCAGCTTTGTGTGGCACATTCAATCAGACCTTGACTTACCCCTCACTCTGGTCGTGGGCAAGCCACTTGACCTTCTCAGCTTTAGTAAAGTGCAAATACATGTCTGTCTAATCTAGCTATATCTCTGCCTTTCTGAGAAAGAATGTGCATTCAGTATTGTTTTATAACACGTAGTTCAGCATTATTTTACATACAGTATAATAAGTAGCAGTAGTATATTAGCATATGCATAGTGTAATAGACACCTTGAAGAGTGCTGTTATCCTGTGTGTCATTGTTGTTACTTCAAGTGACAGATTTGAGTTGTGCATGTTGTTTTTAGTTGGTGCATGATATACTTAGTTTGTTTTAAAACAATAAGAAAGGGAGCCATTATTAAATTTTAGTAAATTCTTCTCTTATGGTTAGAAAATGGCACCTAGTAGTCAGTAGTCTGTAGTAGTCTGGTTGATAGTAACCAATGGCCTGCCTAGTACAACATACTTAGAATATGAGACCATTAAAGTCTTCTTTGACTATGGTTTCATTTTTTGTAATGATTCAGTCAACTGTTGGTAGTACCTTATATAAGGTAAGGGCTGTTAGCTGTAGAACACCGTGCATTTCAAGGACTATTTAATGTAAAAGTGGAACTGGGGTGCTTAACTGACCCTGCTGACTCCTTGTCCCCATCCCACCAGGAGTAAACAGTTAGTTACTGAACCTCCTGTGTCAGAGTTTTACATATAAGATTGCTAGTGTTTTAAATATAAATCTTAGGCTATTAAAAATGTGAACCAGATTAATACCCACCACGGCTGTATGTATAATAGGTGCTAAATGAATATTTCTTGAATGAAGGTAGAAAAAAATATTGTTAACTTGTGAGCTTTTAGTATATTGCCTCTAGAGAATCCTTAATCCCTAACTCAGTAATTGACATAATGTGTACTCAGCAATTACATTTTAAAGGAATGATTTAAATGAAGTAAGATAAAAATGGATTTAGCAGAAGTACTTATCTTTTGAGCATTCCAGTGATGAGAAAAATCTGTCAGTATGAAAATGATAAATTATAGAATAATTTAAGTCTTTTGATCTATTCCTTACATAAATGATTTAGAATAAATTTTTTGAAACAGAATTAAAATGTGGAAAAAATAACATAGTGTTTTCTGAACTTATGCTAAAGCTTAGCATTATTCAGCTGACAACACCTGAATCATTCTAATATGTCTGTATAATTGTTTTAAGAACTGAGGCTCTTTTCTTGATCTCCGTTACAAAGTGGGTTGTATTGGCAGCTGGAGAGGCTGAAGTAGGCTAGCCCCAAGTTCTGAGACTTCAGACTCTGAATTGCATTTCTCCATGATCAGTCCCATTAATCCATGTGGTTTAGATCTGAATGGTATCCTTTTTTAAACAGTGATGCAGTGGTGTTAAACCCAGGCTGTCATTATTTATGTGATCAGTATGACACTAAAGTGTTTGTTAATATGACATCACTTTGGTTCAAGGTGATGTCTACAAACTGGGGTCTACCTCTCTACAAACTGGGGTGGTTGATTACATTTTATTCCAAGGTTAGGTTTTGTTTTAGCTAATCTAGCTAGTATGTTCATCCAGTAATTCCTTTAACAAGTGCTGAAGGCTCTCCTGAATTTATAGCTATTTTGTAGTTTGCTTAAAAGGATAATCTCCCAAATAACATTTATATGTTTGCAATTAACTTGCTTGTATGTAGAGTATTTAATAGGAATATTTTTGGTGCAGCATCATAGAATAGTTTATAGAATGGTAAATACAGTGAGAATGAATTACCAACTGGTGTTGTCCATGTGAGGTAGGAACACTGTTCTGGCTTTTCTCTTCACAGGCTCATTTAGAAGGTAACAGGCAGCACCTGTTGTCCACCTGTTGGATTGTGTTCACCTTCTGTTTATGAGATAGGCGGTTTAAGCCTTTCCATTTGTAGAAAAGCTTGAAAAAGCCTCAGAGAAAAATTGTTTTCATTTTCCAGTAACATTTACACAAGCTGACTCCTGCTTTAGTTGGAAACCTTTTTTCTGCAGTGAAAGAACTCAGACTTGACACGTGTAAAGGTAGTTAGAAGTGAAGTTATAATGCAGGTTTTAACAAAATCCAATCAGAATAAGAGTTAATGCTTCTGTGCAACTGAATCTGGTTTCTTTTTTTTAAATTTTTTCAACTGAGTACATGATGACTTAAATGGTTGTATTTAGAACCATCTAAAATTTCGTCTTTTTATTTAACACTATTATGACAAGTATATTTTTCTGTATGTTTATAAACTTATAAAGCCATCCTTCACTGAATATATATATATATATAGTGAATATATATATATGTATATTGTGAATATATATATATTATGTGCTCTTGTGTTAAATTGTCTAGAAAGGGAGACATGATTTTCTTTTGTAGTTGGTTTATTTCATAAATCTGCACAGTATTAGGACACTTATTGATCAGTTAGAGAAGGAATGGAATGGGTAGCGTCATCCTGATGGTGACCCCAGAGGCATGTGAAATTTCTGCACTCAGTGCTCAGGAAGCCATCACTGCACTGCGGCTCAGAGCTCAGGCCAGGAACTGCACCACTGTAGGAAAGTCTCCAATCTCTGTTGAGCAGTTAGGGTGTGATTCTTTTGAGCCTCAATTGCCTCCTCTGTCAAACGGTGTTAATGATCTCATTAGTCCTGAGAGCTTAACGAGATACTTCTGTAGTCTCAGTGCTCTGCGCATAGTACAGATTCCTATTAGCTGACATTACTTTCACTGTTTCTGGTTTTTAAAAATACCTTAATAAGCTAAAGAACATTTTAATTGTGCTAGTCAATTCTCTACTTGAAACCAGTCACAGACCTCCTACTTCACAGGGAGAGGCTGGAGACCTTCTCTTCAGAAAGGACCTGTGAGGATGCCCATGTCACTGCGGTTAAGGGAGAAAGGAATGGAACAAAAGGGCTACTGTTGAAGGGAGAAGGCAAATTATTTTTCACAGGGGAAGATTATCCAGCTTGGAAGCCTGAAGAATTAACTGAGAAATTATTAGAGCTAAGAGGAAAGTTCATTAAGTTTCTCAGAAAAAATTGATATACAGAGATCTATATCTATCTTTCTTATATCTGCAGAAGTCCGTGTGTAAAATATATATACATATATTTTCCCACATATACGAAACAAATGGTTTTACTCACAATATAAAAATACATATATATTAATAATTTTATGAAATTATGAAAAATGACCTATATGAAAAAATCAAGGTTCCTCAATTGGAAAACTCACTATAAAATGTCAAGTCTTCTGTAAATACACATCCAGTGAAAATTCCAGTGATACATTGGGGAGGAAGTACTCAAAATGATTTAAATTTAGATTTATCTGAAAGAACAAGTGGATAAAACTAGGTAAGCAAAAGAATAAAGCATGAATGGGAATTTGTTCTGGCAGACATTAAAATGCCACAGACAGCACCCGGAGCCCCTCTGGGCGGGCTTACTCGGCCAGAGCCGAGCGGGCGGAGGTGCAGGGCGGCGGGGGGCGGATGGGTGGGTAGGATTTAAAGAAGGCGCGCCATCACCTCAGTTCGCAGGTCCGCGCTGGGGCTGCTCCCAAATTGCCCCTCTCCTGCAGCACTGGGGGCCCCTTTCCGGCCCAGGCCGCCAGCCCGCCGCTCCCGAGGCAACAGGAGCCCTGTGCACAGGCTCAGGTTTAGGCGAGCGGAGAGTTCGGAGCGCGCCGCTTGAGTTTGCGCACTGTTTGGCTTCCGCCACCCCTGGGGTCGTCCCGGCGGCCCCTGCCGCCGGAGCAGCGGTGGTCGCGGTTCTGGGATCCTCTGCCCTTGGAGGAAGGAGGCGCGCACGTGGAGGAGAGCCTCGCGCGCTTTGGAGGAAGAGGGGACGCAGTCCAGAAAATGCTGGAGACTTCCTAGCAAGAAGGTGCTTCCTTGGAGGTCCAGATGTTACTTGCCGCAGATGCTTCGCGAATTTTCTGGCACTGGTGATGCACCCAGTGGGAGGTAGTGGAGTGAAAGATAACTGAGGAGGGGCTGAGCGTGCGCCTGGCAACCCTTTCGAGAAGGAACTAGCCCAGACTGACAACTGGCATCCTTGGCTGACTCTTCAGATCTTTTAAAATTCTGGGGGTTTGTTTTTATTCTAGTCGCTAGTCATCCATATGCTGATCGGTTTATGGTACAGTTAGCCTCACAGTATTTCACGCACAGATAGGATGAAGGTGTTCAAAATCAGTAAGAAGTATAAAACGTTTCTCTGAAAGACAGAAGTGAAACGTACTAGTCAGTGTGTACTGGAATATTTTTATGCTGTTAAGAACAATTTCCTTTAGTAGGAGCAGCTTTTTCCTTTATATTTGACATAATGCAAAGATCAAACAGCATGATTTTGTTTGCAGATTTTCCTCACTTCTTGGTATGCTTGCAGCACATCTTCTAACAGGATCAGTCTGGAAGTTGCATTCACAAGTTGGCCTGCCCTTCAGGGGAAACTTTCTTGCCTCTTTGGCAGTGTGGATTTGACCTAGCCATGTGGTGTGTACAAGTAGGAAGTTCTACAGTCAGTTAACTCTTTTAAGTTTTCCCTGCAATTCATGTCCAGTTCGAACACAAACACATATGCAGTTGCTGTGATGACATACAGAAATGCAAATCATCAGTGAAATGTATGGGAGTGACTCTCTTTCTTAAGATACCACACAAATGTTTACTTTGCATCAGCCCTTGTATTGCTAAAACAATTGGACTGATTTCTTTAGAACCATATTCCTTTACATGCTCTATAAAGACACTCTGTTCACAGACTGTGGGTGGAGCAACTGTTGAAACCCTAGCAGGAGTAATTATATAGACTTGAGTATTAAATATACTGTTTTGTGATGATAAACTATGAAACTATCATCCCCAAGCTTTTAACCTACTAACTTATATAATAGGTTTGAGACAAAATATACACTGTCATACAAAGGACATATATATGTACAGGGGCACAAGATGTGAAAACTGTTACTAAGATTATTGTGAATAAAGTTGAGTCTAATCTTGAAAATTATTTTGATATATACAAAAGGATAAGGACTGAGAAACATTTTTATATTGGTGAGTTAAATTATTGTGTATTTTCAAATTTAAGTTTAGAAATCAATTGCAATAAATTATTACCATGAAATGTTTGCATATATGATTGAAATGTATGCCTGTATGTAAAATATCTTATAAAAATAAAATGTATAAGCTTCCTAGGAAAAAAAAAAATAAAATAAAATAAAATGCCACAGACATTTAAATGCCACAGTTTAAAAGGTACAGATGATTTTTACTTTCTTTTCTAAAATTATAGTATTTCAATTTTACTTTCTTTAAAAAAAAAGATATATATATAATATAGAAAATTATATAATTATATATATTTGTGGTTTTTAGTTCTTAATATGACTCTGCATATCTGATATGCCCTTGAAATGCTTAAAGTTTATTTTTATACTTCATGTGGAGGCAAATTAGTAGAATAATTTTCATTAGCATTATTATAGTAAAATTCATAAGTTTGCATAGCCATTAAAAATTATTTTGATCTGCATATTTTGAAATCCTTCTTCCGTTTCTTGATTGCATTTATTTCTCTAATACTAAGCAGTGGGCTTCAACAGGCTAATTATAAAAGTCAAAATCCTCAGCATTCTGGCTTCTAATTCAGGGTATACTTGAATTCATAGAATGGCTGGATAATCCACTGTTTGCCTGTTGTGATCTTTACTGCATGTGAAAAGACTTGATTCTCCTAATGAGAGGACAGAGAAGTTCTTTGAGCTTTGAAAGAAGAAATTGTCATTGAATTTTTGTGGATTTCATTAGGTCAGAGTACTGGTGCTTACACAGAAGATTTGGACGTGTAGGGTTTTGTAACCCAGACCTCTATAGTAGCATAGAGTTGGATCTGCCTCCGGACAGTGTGGGCTGGTCCTATCACGCTTGCTATTTCAGTCTGGGGTTCTTCCCTTATGTTGGTAACTTTAACTTCCATAGGAAAATCAGTCGCCTATATGCCCTATGCTGAGGCCACACGTGCTCTAGAGCAGGAGGCACAGATACACAGTACCACGGCCAGGTCAGCGTCACCGTGTAGGCTCTCTCCGCAGCCCGGTGTGAGTGCAGCCCGCTCTAGTGGCCCCCCAGGTAAATACCAATCCTCCTGCCGTGGCTGCTGGCCATCCACCTATACTGCTGGCAGGGGTGGTTTGCTCCCAGGACGCGTCCCCGCTGTTTCAGAATTCCTTTCTTGTTTCTCTGCATCCCATCTTCAGTTGTATTCAGTTGAGATTCACTGGGCCACCGGGAGGTTTGTGTTCATACCTGTATACTGTGACGTTGACTGCCTGTTCTCCTATGAGTACATGTACTTTGTAAAAATCTTGAGATCCACCCCCTGCTAAAAAATATTCAAGTGTCTATGAGAGTCAGAATCAGTGTTTCTCAAATTATGCAAGATGCAAAGAGGACATATAACTGGCTGTCAGTTATATCTGTATATTTTCTAGAGTTGTACTATCAGCTGTCCCTAAGAAACACCCTTCTTTTCACCTCCTGTGTGAGGTCCAAGGAGTGGTGCAGAGAGAGAAAAAATCACTAAAGATTGCTGTTTGCATAAGCTGAACAGAAATAGTCTGAAATGGACATCAGCCTGAAAGCTCTGGTTTGACAGGGAGTTGAGTATTTCAATGTCACAGATACCATTTGTGACCCGAGTATGGATACAGATTTAATCTAAGTGAAGGAAATTTAAAATAGAAATGTTCATCCTCGAATTCATCTTGCACTTACGATTGAATTGTGATTGAAAAAATAATTGAGATAGGCGGGACATCACAAACTAGGAAATTGACTATTTTGAATAATTTTTTTCTTCCTTTTAAAAGTCCTCCAGCCTGCTCCACATCAGGTGATAACTAACCTTCCTGAAGGGGTTCGGCTTCCAACAACTCGGCCCACTCGGCCGCCGCCTCCTCTCATCCCGTCATCCAAAACCACAGTGGCTTCTGAGAAACCATCATTTTTACTGGGAGGCTCCATCTCGCAGGTAAGAAGGCTGGCTTCTCTTCCCAGGAGATTCTCTGTTGGTTACTGCTTTGTAAAGATTTTCTCTCCCTCCCATATTAATTTGTCAGAGTCTAAATGAAAATCTATTTATGACGAGACATTGACTTAAAAATGCAGCAGTTGCTTTGTCTTCCATGGCGCATGCAAGTTTGTTCAAGTTAGGTCCCCAAACTGAGTGACAGTGTCATGTGTGGCCACTCAGATCTCTGTCTGCCTAATCGGTGGTCAGCTAATGATCAGGGAGCTTTGTGTCCGGAAGGACTTAAATTTCCCAGTCTTTACCAAGGGGCTCATCAACCAGGCAGCCGACAACACTGCCTTCCTCCTCAATTCCTGCTATCACAGAGCCTTGAGGTGGGACCACACACAGTGAGGAAGCACGGCCTTCTGGAGTCTCCCCTGGCCAGTGTGCAGCCTGCACATGTGTATGGCCTTCTAGGTCCCCAGGGAGATGTTGGACCTCTGCAGACCCCTGTGGACATCTCATTCTTTAGCTTTTCCTTTTTGTGGGGAGGGGTGGGGCATACCTCAAAGGATGCAGGATTTTAGTTCCCTGACCAGGGATGGAACCCTTACCCTTTGCCGTGGAAACATGGAGTCTTAACCACTGGACCACAAAGGATGTTCCTCTTACAGTTTATGGTTAGCCTGATTGTTTGCTCTGACTGCCTTGGCCAGGGGAGGAGTCCATTGACTAATTGTTTCTGACAAGCCTACACCTGTTCCCCACCCCGTTAGGCCAGTTTAAGACAGCTTTGTAAGTGGGGTGTCTCAGAGAACCGCTCAGCCAATCTGATAATGACAGTCACCTGAGACTGACCCCCCCACCCCGTACTTTCATGTGACCAGAGCTGTGGGTTCTGAGGGCTGAAGCAGACCAGCAATGGGGGTCAGCAGAGCAAGTTTACAGGTCACAGAGCTCACAGTTCTCACCAGAGTTCGCCATTTTCCTGACTAAATGCTCCCAGACTTCTACAGGTGTTTGGTTATAGATTTGGAAAAGAGTTCTTAAAGGGCTGATTCTTAACCTTCCTGCTAGTTTTCTGGTTGCCTTTGTGGAGGAGAGTCTTTGGAAGTTCTTCCTCTATCATTTTTTCGAGGGATAAAAGCAATTAATAATGGTAGCTACATCTGAGGGTATGGTTAAGTGTTTTCAGTCATGTGATTTGTTAATAATACACATTAATCTACCTAAAATTTAGGGTGATTTTGGAAGATGTCTTGCTCCTTTTAAAAGCTTTTAAAATTTAACCAATCTGCGACAAGGATTTTCATGCTTTATGCATACCTATTCTTAGTTTCGGTGGAGGGTTGATGGGTGGTAAGTTTTCTAAGCAGAAATGTGTACCTTAACTCTAGAGCTGACCTTGTGAAGAGACAGTGTTATTCTAGTCCTTTAACATTATTTTTAGGGAACACCCGGCACTTACTTGCCTTCTCCTAATCAGGCCTCCTACGCCCCTGAGGCAACGAAGCCCTCGGCAGGCTCCATCTCTCTGGGACTGCCGCGGCAGCAGGAGGCCGCCAAGCCAGGTCAGTGAGGAGGGGGCGGACTGTAGCCGCTTTTGTGGCGCACCAGTCGGGGACTTGGCACTTGAGTTCACTCTGTCTTGCTCCGGCCCACAGCCACCGTGCCCTACATCAAACAGGAGGAGTTCTCTCCCCGAAGCCAGAACTCACAGCCTGAGGGTTTACTGGTCAGAGCCCAGCACGAAGGGGTGGTCAGAGGTAAGACGCTGTAGGGCAGAAATATACTCTGGTCCCCAGTAAATGGGTTAAGGGAAGTCAGTAATATGTTTTAAAGATGGGCTCTTAAATTAGAGCCTTTAAATTCTAAGTTTTCTTTCCATATAAAAATCATTTTAAGACTTTGAAATTTTGTGTTTCTGCAGTTCTTTTTAAAAATTGTGAAATTATTTTTGAAGTACGTTTCAGTAAAACACTTTTGGCTGCGTTTCTCTCTTTTTCTCCTCTCTCCCAAGCAGGGGCTGGTTTTGTTGGCCTGTTTTTCTTGTAGGTGTGGGGGTGTGATTGGCTGGTGATTTTGTTGTTATCCAGGTACCTCAGGAGCCATTCAAGAAGGAAGCATAACTCGGGGAACGCCCTCTAGCAAACTCTCTGTGGAGAGCATCCCGTCCCTCCGAGGTTCCATCACCCAGGTCAGTTGTTCTCCTTCCCAAGACCCAAACCACAGCTGGTGAGAAAAGCAGAAGTGAAGTCTCAAGTGGGTTGGCTGTTTTAACACAAGTTGTGACAAAGTTATTCATTGTTCTGGGATTTGGGACAGGTCTCTGTGATAAACCTCGGATGATAAACCACAAGCCAAATCACCTATACTGTGTTTCATTGAAAAAGGTGGATTATTTGCAAATTGGCAGAAAAAACAAGTTATAATTGATGCAACTCTGCCTGGTAAAGCTTTTAACATGTGTTCAGCTTAAACAGAAATTGAGAGGAAAATCATAAATTATTGGCTTGTCATTGTATTTTTCTTAGATATTTTGAAAAAGCTTGATTACATTTGCATGAATTTAGGCCTTGGGACAAATTTTGTTTCTGAGAGTTAAGTACTTTCATAGTGGTTTAACTTTGAGGTGGGGAAGAAGGCTGACTCAACTCATATACCTATTGGCATTTTAGGAAGTTTTGCATGGCAGTGTTCAAGGACCAAGGTTCAGTCTTTCTTTATGTTTATAAAACATGTCCAATTTCCCGTCATGTGCTGGCCTTTCTCATTTGAGGTCATGGCTTGATCTGATGCTTCGTGTGCCAGGTTACATTTTCTGAGCGCTTGTGTCTTGTCAACTGAAGTGATGCTCATGCTGCCTGTGTTTGATTGAATGGCAGGGAACCCCAGCTCTGTCCCAGGCTGGCATACCCACTGAGGCATTGGTGAAGGGACCTGTTTCTAGACTGTCCATTGAAGAGAGCAGTCCTGAGAAAGGCCGGGAGGAAGCCGCCTCCAAAGGCCATGTTATTTACGAAGGCAAAAGTGGACACATCTTATCCTATGACAGTAAGTATCGCCTCTCCACTCCAAAGCTGGTGCTGTCACATGTGACAGGGGTGTGGGGCTAGCTCCTTACCTGCTGGCTTTGGGAAAGTGAGTTTTCTTTCCCCAAGCCCAGGTTTCCTCTCTGTAATATAAAAAGGGTTAACGTGAGTACTTCTCTTGAAACCTTGGTGAAAAATAAACTGAGACAGTCAGTGAAAAGTGCTTAACAGCATGGAGCCCATAGTAAGTGTCCCCTGAGTGGTGGCTTCCACTGCCAGCTGTGGTCATTAGACTTAGCCTAGGAAAAGAATCTCTGTTTAATAGAATCACAGCTAAAGGTCTGCTCAGCAAAAACAAGTCCCTGTGAATGCGATTTGACCCCCTTCTATTTTAAAGGAATGCCAGTTTTACGTGTTAAGAATTAAGGAGTAGATAGTAGTCTGATAATCCTAGAAAGAGTATTGAATTTAAATTCACCTTAAATGTAACTGTTTTAATGTCTGTCTCTAAACGTTCCTCTTTAGATGTGTTCATGAGTTTAAGTTTCAGCTTGCGCACTGTTCTGAGCAGTGTGCTGAAATCTCATTGTCCTGCCCAGACGTGCATCTCCCCTTTTTCCACCATGTCCAACCGGCTCAGCTGGCGATGACTATTGTCAGTCGCAGTGCTGTGTCCAGTGACCCTTACCTGAAATTTCGTGTGCCCAGATCCCTTTCCAGCAGTTTCATTGCCCGCTGTCTGTAGTACCGGTTACTCAGTGGTAACTGCCATTAGTTAACCTGGACCCACCGCTATTGTTAAGTTCCTTGAGGGAAAGGACCTAATTTACACCCTATATCTGAAATCCTGGTTTATGCCTGATCCTCAGTAAATATATTTGAATCAATGAAAACATTTTTATAAGTATCATCTACAGAGGTAGGTATGTAGTAGATTAAGACCAGTTTTTATATTATCTTCATGAGATCATGAGATTAAAGTAACTTATTTAGGCCTTGGGCTCTATCCGAGCAGTACTTGTGTCTGTGTTCTGCAGATATTAAGAATGCCCGAGACGGGACGAGGAGTCCGAGAACAGCTCATGAAATCAGTCTCAAAAGAAGCTATGAATCAGTGGAAGGAACAATAAAACAAGGGTTGTCTATGAGGGAATCTCCCGTATCAGCACCGCTGGAGGGTAAGGTGTTGTTTCCAGAGCTCTGTTTAGATACGTACAGCCAATTTGCATTGTTGAGTTTGGTTGCATTTAGTATCTGTCATTTCTACGTGAAATTTATATCAATATATAAATGAAACATAAATATGTTAATATATTATACATACATGTGGTATAAAATGTATAATAGTAGTTAATATACTAATATGAAAGTTATTAGTAAACATTTAAATTCATGTTCATCTCTACATCTAAATCAAGCAGTACATGACAGTGAAGGGGGAAGTAAAGACAAAAGTGATCTTATCATAGGTAACTGTTAGAATGCTCATATAATTTGTAGATTGATCCTGTTTAAGTGAGTTTAAAAATGTGAAGTTCATCACGAGCACTTGTTTTTATTGTGGGGCAGGCAGAGAGGTATATAACGTATAGAGCAGAGACATGTTTGAATCTCGCTCTTTCCAGGTGCGTCTGTCTGTGCCCGTCTCTTGCTCTGTCAGTTGAGGGGTTGTACCTGCAGTCATGTGAGGAAGAGAGAGCTGTGTGGCTCTGTGCTGATCATGTGGCATGCCTTCATCACATGATCACCATGGTTTGTTTTGTGAATGGTTCACTTTCCTTAAGTCTTAACCTGACTCAACTATTTTATTTTAATCTAGATGAGAAACGGGAAACAGGGTAAGGATTCCTCGGTCTTGAAGGCCAGTTTAAATTTTCTAAGAGCTGAATTTTCTCTATAATTAAAAAAAAAAAAACCTCACTTTCCTCCATTCAAATTTGTTGGCAGTGTAACATGAAACATCTGAAAAGGTTATTTACATGTGTTTCATTTTGGTTTGCATCTTTAGTGTATTTTATCTGTTTTTGAGGTATCCATCGTTCATGTTTTTCTCTTCAGAGCTTAACAGTGATTTCCAGCCCCTCTGTGTTTTCTCTCGCCTTGATAAAAAAGCACTGAGGGTTTAGACTTAGCTTTGAAAGTATTGTTCTCTACGCTTTGACTTAGATGTTTTCCTTGGCCATTTTCTATTTGTGAAAATGTTTGAAAAGAAGCAGTTTTAAAAGTGGATACTTCCAGCTTTTATTTTTTCCATGATGTTCTTCTGATTAGTTTGCAAATCTACAACAGTTCTCCTTTTTCCATGGAGCTTTTGTCAGAAGTGTGTCCTCTTAGAACAGTTAGTTGTGTTCCTGAGTTGACATCTGTGCTGTGTCTAACACCGAAACCACCTGCTTGTTTTGAAAGGGCTCATCTGCCGTGCGCTGCCCAGAGGGAGCCCTCACTCTGACCTCAAGGACAGGACCGTGCTGTCTGGGTCCATCATGCACGGTAAACTCTCTGCTCACTTGCTTCTGTTCACAGCTGTCTCAGGGCCAAAGTAGTTTGCAGGGTATGAAGCCTGTTTTTCAAGGTATCTTCCCTTTTGACATCTTAGGTATTTTAACCCTAACTATAACTCTTCTTCTCTGAGTTTCATAGTTTATTTGAAGATGATCGTTGCTTAATCTTTGAATACAGACATCTTTATTATGTAAGAACCACTCTTGATTGTGATGAATGATATATTAAGTCTTGAACAACCCCCCCAAAATAATGGCCATGAGTATTTACATAAGGATCTTACTGTAAACAGAAAACTGATTAGAAACTGCAAACAGCAAGGCATTAATTTCTTTATATTATGGTAATTTATATGCAACAAAATTTACTATTACAACAGTTTTTTGAAGTATAGTTCAGTGGCATTAATTTACCAAGTGTTTCTTGAATCCTTCTTTGAAGGCACACCAAGAGCGACAACTGAAAGTTTCGAGGATGGCCTTAAGTACCCCAAACAGATTAAAAGGGAGAGTCCACCCATCCGAGCGTTTGAAGGTGCCATCACCAAAGGAAAGCCCTATGATGGCATCACCACCATCAAAGAGATGGGGCGCTCCGTTCACGAGATCCCCCGGCAGGACATGTTGGCTCAGGAGAGTCGGAAAACCCCTGAGGTGGTGCCGAGTGCTCGGCCCGTCATTGAGGGCTCCATCTCCCAGGTACCGTCCGCTTTGGACCACAGTGCAGCAGTAGTTATCAGTGGCTCTAGATCATTGTAAACATTGGATCTCCTGGAAGTAAACGTGGAGGTCTCTGTGACCTCAGTTCTGGTGTGGGAGCATGTGCGGCATGGGCACTCAGCTGCCCTTCACTGGCACATGCCAGTGTGGCACCTTAGATGGAGCCCGGCCACAGGGCTGCCTGTGACACTTGTCTCTTGACCCACAGGGCACACCCATCAAGTTCGACAGCAGCTCGGGTCAATCTGCCATCAAACACAATGTCAAGTCCCTGATCACGGGGCCTAGCAAATTGCCCCGTGGGATGCCTCCATTGGAAATTGTGCCCGAGAATGTTAAAGTGGTAGAAAGGGGCAAGTATGAGGATGTGAAGGCAGGAGAGCCCGTGCGGTCCCGGCACACGTCGGTGGTGAGCTCCGGCCCCTCAGTCCTCAGGTCCACTCTCCACGAAGCTCCCAAAGCACAGCTGAGCCCGGGAATTTATGAGGACGCCAGCGCACGGCGCACACCGGGGAGCTACACCAGCACTGTGTCCCGGGGCTCGCCCATGCTGAGCAGACCTTCTGAAGGTGTGTTGCTCTCGTATGCTGTCTGACCATTCATGCTATCCACTGCAGCACTTGGCCCGGCGTTGGTTCCAGGGTCTTGTAGCCTGTCTGCTGTGCTCTGGGAGATTGGCTGCCCATGAAAATAGGCATAATTGCAAGTAAAATGCCTAATGTTTTCATTAAGTGCACAGTGCACTCGAGTCCAGAAATGGTGGAACAGGTCATGCTTGGCATGGATTTTCAACTAAACCATGAGAATTTCTGAAAGTCAGTCTGGACGGTCAGCTCTCCTCACTGTCTGCTGTGTGTCTGCTGTCTGAGTGCTCAGGCCATGGAGCTGGCTGCTTAAGGGTGAATTGAGGTTCTTACTGCACAGAGTTGAATACGTTCCTTAGGTTTTTTGTGCTCTAATGTCCTCATCTGTGAATTGGTGGTGTAATACCAAGGCTGGCCTCATAGGATTGCTATGCAGATAAAATGAGGTGATATTTTGAAAGGATTTTGGCAGAATAGTGCACAGAGTGTAGGAAAGACTTGGTAATTGTGAATTGTGAACTGTTATTACTGTCGGTTCTGTTTTATGACCAGAACCTGCCCCTCCTAGGGGTTCATGCTGCTGCAGAGACATCTGGGGTATGAGAGGCATGGATTTTTACCAGGTGGTCTGTGAACAATCTAAGGCCCTTAGAAGTGTTTCCACTGAGCATTTTAGATTGTAGTGCAGTACTCGTTTATCGAGGGCTTATGTGCAGGCTCCCGTGGGCGGTTGGAGGGGCCACACAGAGGGAGGAGAAGAGGGAAATGTCCATCTGGGGCCCTGGCGTAAACCTACACCCTGTTGGTTCTGGTCTTGAAGGAGGAGAATTGCCCTGCAGAGGGAGAGGCTCTGCCTGTTAGAGCGATCTGCGGCAGGGAGGGGAGGTGATAAACCAGCATGATTTCTTGGCTTCCACACAGGTTTGTGTGATCACAGCAAAGTCAATATTATCAAAATAGTAATTAGATGGTGCACATGGTTGCACAGTGTTGTTGCACAGTGTCTTACTGTTGTTGAAGTATACCCTATGAAATGGCCAAACTTGTAAATTTTATCCCCTGTGTGTTTCACCACAGTTACTGAAACAGTGGAAGGTGATGGCTGGTAGGGTTTTGGTTTGGACTCAGTAGCACTGATGAGATAATCAAACTTCTGAATAATGTCCTGTAGAGAAGAAGAAGCTGGAGCAGGGAGGAGGCCAGTGCTGGCGAGGAAGTCTGTGTGGCAGCACAGAGCAGGGAACACTGTGTAACCCAGCAAGGAGCCGGGCAGCCAGGCAGAGAGAGGGTGGAGGCTTGGTATGGGCAGGGTCCGGAGGAGTTAGTGTGTCAGGTCAGAGATGACAAAGCACTGAGCGTCAACTTTCATTCGTAATTTTAGGTGATAAACCGGGCTGTGACCTGAAAGGGGGCAGTCTCCCAACCCAAAGGTGCCCGCATGTTCTGTAAGATTGATTGTTTCATGTTTAGTAGAAAGAGAAGATCAAAGAGATATTTGTATATGGTGTGTATTGGAATGGTTGAGAAATAGATTAACATTATCCTATTTAACAAGCTTGCTTAAGGATTTGTGGTGTTGGCCGTTTTTTCTAGTTACAATTTCTTCTGGCAAGTCTGCTAATCATGAGAGGAAGTCAACCCTGACCCCTACCCAGAGGGAGAGCATCGCAGCCAAGTCTCCGGTGCCTGGCGTGGACCCTGCAGTGAGCCACAGCCCCTTTGAGCCGCACCACAGGGGCGGCACCCCCGGGGAGGTGTACCGGAGCCACCTGCCGGCACACTTGGACCCAGCCATGCCCTTTCACCGGGCTCTGGATCCTGGTAAGCATAGTATGCAGTGAAAACTGAAGGCAGAGCAGTGACATGGCTGTGTGCCTCTTTGGACATTCTGTTTATTAAAGTACAGAATGCAGACAGTCATGTGTGTTATTAGGATACAGTTCAGTGGATTTTCACAAACTCTACAGCTCAAGCCCCCAGATCAAGACACAGAATACTGGATACATGGAAAGGCCTCTTGTGTGATGGCATTTGATTGAAAAGTGGGTTCTGTGAAGAACTATTTTTAAATAACACAGGCATACTTCATACATTTTAGTTTACAACAGAGACTTTCTTCACCAGTGTTCTGATCTCTAGTCAGGGCACTGGTTACACCTCACAACTGCTTCTTAGGTAAATGATACATCTCCAGGTTTGTTTTTTTAAGTGAAGTTGGAGTTTAAAGACACACTAAAGGAATCTTATCAATAAATACGTATACTTCTAGATTTTTTCCCTCATCTTTTATAATTATCTGCTGCTAAGTCGCTTCAGTCGTGTCCAACTCTGTGTGACCCCATAGATGGCAGCCCACCAGGTTCTCCCGTCCCTGGGATTCTCCAGGCAAGAGCACTGGAGTGGGTTGCCATTTCCTTCTCCAGTGCATGAAAGTGAAAAGTGAAAGTGAAGTCACTCAGTTGTGTCCAACTCTTCGTGACCCCATGGACTGCAGGCTACTAGGCTCCTCTGCCCATGGGATTTTCCAGGCAAGAGTACTGGAGTGGGTTGCCATTGCCTTCTCCGTTAAAATTATCTAGTCCATACCTAATTCAGATTCTGTATTGAGTCTTTCCAAAGCAGCAGCATAGTTTTTTCATTGTTTCATTATTGTGGTAGCAATTATAACTGGAAGGACCTTTTGAACAGATACCACTGACCATGAGTGAACATGGTCTTAGTAGGTGTAGAAGCATGTAGGTTTTCTGGGGGGGCAGCCTGCCCTGGCACAGCAGTGCTGCCTGCACAGCCTGGGCCAGTGGACTCTGCCCGGAAAAGGGCATCCTGTCCACGGGTGGTGGAGCGTCTCTGCTGGACTGTGGTGAGGTCAGTACCATCACATTGTCTGTCACCTGAAAACGTCAGGTCCCTGAGGCGCCCACACATGTCTGATTGTTCAGAACTGGGGCAGGAGCCTCACCCCTACCCCCCACTGTCGGCTGACAGACCCCACTGGGAGGGCTAGAGGAAGGGGGAGCAGACACTCCGAGAGTTTGTAATTTGTTCTTCTCAGGAGAAAATGTGTGCATAAACTCTTCAGTCAAACTCTCAGACAGAAGTGAATGTTTATACTTTCATTTAGTGTGTATCATAATCCTTCATTTTATAGCAGTTTTCTTTGCTTGTCATTATTGAGCTTGAGCTGGATTATCAGTATTTTGAGGATAGAGGCATTATCTCCTGTTGTCATTTTGTTGGGATATAGTGGACCTCCAGCACTGTATTAAGTTCACTGTGTGTGCTCAGCTCATGACCAGCGTCCCAGCACCTGCGTCATGGGGGCCCGGTCCTGCTGCTGCCTGTTTGTGCAAATAAAGTTTTATTAGAACACAAGTCATTCCTGCTTGTTTTGTCTGTGGCGGCTTTCATACTGTAATGACAGAGTTGAGTCAGTGTGACAGAGCCATAGTGTCCACAAATCCTCACATATTGACCATCTGGCCCTTTGACTAATCTCTGCCTTACAGGCACACACTGATAGTGAAATTCGCTCAGTCATGTCTAACTCTTTGTGACACCACAGACTATACAGTCCATGGAATTCTCCAGGCCAGAATATTGGAGTGGGTAGCCTTTCCCTTCTCCAGGGGATCTTCCCAACCTAGGGATTGAACCCAGGTCTCCTGCATTGCAGACGGATTCTTTACCAGCTGAGCCACAAGGGAAGCCCATGGACAGTTAATTTTTAGTGCCCCCACCCCCACCCCGGAAAATTAAAGTTACCATTTGTTATAAAGTGTCTCATATATTTTTCCATTTCTTTGTATTAGATGATCTATACTACAAAAAATAATTTTTTTTCAAACACAGCTTTTGGAAACTTCAGGTGAAAAATCTAATAAAGTTACATGTCAAAGACTGCAAGTGAAACTACTTGAGAGTAGTTTTTAGCTGCTGTTCTAGTGGTCAAGGTTAATATTCTTGTTTTGTCTGATCTGTTGTCCCCGTTTTCGTTATGTCTGACATTAGGATGTTTATATTCACACTGCTCTTCTGTCAAGGTCCAAAAGGAATCTGCCATAATCCTGTGTCCCCCCCTGCCCCAACCCTGAAGTAGGTAGAAGCTGATTGTGCTCAGTAGCTCAGCAGATGGTTCTTTTCCTTACTCTTTCTGTGGGTGATGTTTAGCAAGTGGATTCTGCACGGACTCAACTACATACCTATCTTTCCTCTCTCCATCAGCAGCCGCTGCTTACCTGTTCCAGAGGCAGCTGTCACCGACCCCTGGCTACCCCAGTCAGTACCAGCTCTACGCGATGGAGAACACGCGCCAGACCATTCTCAACGATTACATCACCTCCCAGCAGATGCAAGTTGGCCTTCGGCCTGACGTGGCCAGGGGGCTGTCCCCCCGGGAACAGCAGCTGGGGCTCCCGTACCCGGCGACCAGGGGTGTGTGTCTGTGTCCAGGACAGGTGCTTGGTGGGCGGATGACGGGAGGAAGGAAAAGCAGGCTCTATAGCCGTTAGCCTTGAAGGCAGACAGGATGATACATCGAAACAGGCTATTCTGGCAACACTGGAATAATGAGGCCAGATCGATGTCCTTGAGGTTAGAAGCCGTGGTCTCTCCAGCTTCACTCTCTCCTCTCTCCACATGTATGGGGTGGGGTTGGGGGAGTGGGGCGGTGTTCATCTCTCCCTGTCGATGAAGCAGGTCTTACAGAGTCATGCTGAACTTAAGCACTGTATTTGTCCTGTATGCAAATTATTTTGGGGTTAGAGAAACCCAGGAGCCATGTGCAGCTTTGTATCTTTAGAATAATACTTGAAACATAATTTTGTTGTGTTTCTTTTGAACAGGAATTATTGACCTGACCAACATGCCTCCAGCAATTTTAGTGCCTCACCCTGGGGGAACGAGCACCCCTCCCATGGACAGAATCACATATATTCCCGGTACACAGATCACCTTCCCACCCAGACCTTACAGCTCCGCGTCCGTAAGTCCAGGTGGGTCTGCGCGCGCCCCTCTCTGCTGGGAGCATTGTGCTTCTGTGTTGCCAGCACGGCCTCTATGGATGTTTGGGGCACTCTTCCACAGTTAGTCTGCTGTTTTTCATTTACTCTCTAGTCATAGGTCCTTCACAGTGTCTTTCCCTAGATCCTCTGAGAGCTCCTGGGAGCTTGTGTTATGCTCCATTATCACTGAGACTCTTAACAAAGCATATTTCCTACTGCTCAGATTTTGAGCTTTCTGAAAAATGTTCAGTCACTTGAGAAGGTAAAGCTTGTTTGATGCACTTGCCAGGTTGGCGTTATTGTCCTCAGGCTGCAGGTTTGTGTGTTTTCCAGGACACTCAACACACCTTGCTGCCGCAGCCAGTGCTGAGAGAGAGCGGGAGCGGGAGAAGGAGCGGGAGCGCCTTGCCGCAGCCTCCTCGGACCTCTACCTGCGGCCGGGTGGGTGGAGGCGCCGGCCTTGTGCTCAGGGTGGGATGCCCTCAGACACAGAGCAGCGGGGCCCTTGCATGTGTAAGCTGTTGAGGAGCCGACAGGGCGGAGGCAGTGGCGTTGTCATAGGGACAGTGGCATTTGGATTTAGCAATAGTAGTTGGGTCTTAAAACACTGGGTTCAGAGCTCATTAAAGCTGAAGCTGTCCAGCAGAGGCTTCCAGAAGATTCCTGAAGATAGATGTGGCATTGGGCTGGCGTGTAGAGGGAGGATGCAGAGTGTGCTTAGAAGGTTGTCTGATTAATGTAAACGAAGTCCCTCAGTGTCTGACCATAGGAGGTGCTTTAATGAATCATGAGCTGTTCTTATTGTTTAATCACTCAATCGTGTTTTGCTCTCTGCATCCCCATGGACTGTAGCTGCCATCCTTGGGGTTTTCCAGGCAAGAATACTGGAGTGGGTTGCCATTTCCTTCTTCAGGAGATTTTCCTACCTAGGAATTGAACCCACTGGTCTTGCATCTCCTGCATTGGCTGGTGGATTCTTCACCACTGAGCCACCTGAGCAGTGGATCATGAACTAGCACCATAGTATTGATTGTATGTTGATTGTACAGAAACTGCAGAAATTGACTTAACTGAAGAGAGCCAGGTACAAATCCTACATAATTTCTGTAAGAACTATGTTTTAAAAATGCTTGTCATCCCACTGATGAATAACATGCAGCTTTAAGTCCATCAAACATCATTTTTCTCCATCAGACACTTGAAAGATTGATAGATTGTGTTGTGGTGTTTGAGGAAACACTGCCTCTTACACACTGTCAGTGGTAGTATAAACAGGGATAACTTTTTCAGAGACATAAAAATGTGAGCAATAATTCAGTCCTAGGAATGCACCCCTGTGGGAACTGCTCACATAAACTGCTGTGTGGTCAGATGGGAGAGAATCGCTGGAATGGTTGTGCTAAGTGGTACCTGCTCTGAAAAAAAAAATATGGCTGTTTGCTAGAACTGCCCGCTCAAGTGAGAAAGAGTGAGTCTGAGAGCCCGAGGAGGTGGAGGAGAAAGTGAGGAAAAGGAACTTGAGGTCCTGCGAGTGAAGGAGCTTTGCTGTGGGAGCCACGGTCAAGTGGAGGAGCCACGGAGCTGTGGGCCGGACAGCCTCAGGCCCTGCTGCAGCAGAAGCTCATCATTTGCATTGTGATTCAGAGACAGTTGTTCCAGACTTGATTTTGGAAATAAGAAACACCAGAGTTTGAGGAAAAGTCAGAGACAAACTTACCTGATTTGTATTAGTGCCTCAGTATTGTGGTTTTTTTTGTTTCTCTTTGGAATCAAGATAGAGACTTGTCACAGGAATGGGAATGAGAGTAAAGTGGTAGCTGATGATTTTGTTTCAAGTTACTAGTGTGGTTTTATTGCATCTTTATGGGAAAACTCTTAAAGCATTGATTTCTCAAAAGGCCAGAAAGCAGGGTACCGAGTTTCTCCACTTGCTTTCCTGTCTTCTATTTGGGAATGTGAGGAAGTCAGCACCCCCCTGTGCTACCATCCAGCCTCTTCCTGATGGCTGGTCCCTGCATCCCTCTGCCCACAGGCTCAGAGCAGCCTGGCCGGCCCAGCAGCCACGGCTACGTGCGCTCCCCATCCCCATCGGTCAGAACTCAGGAGGCCCTACTGCAGCAGAGACCCAGCGTCTTCCAGGGAACCAACGGGACCAGCGTGATCACCCCACTGGACCCTAGTGCACAGCTGCGGATCATGTAAGCCTCCGTGTGCACTTGGACCAGACATGCCATCTGCTGCACATGCTTGTCAGCGTGTGACTGCAATAGCACTGCCCACTGTGCTCACTGCAGTCTGTCCTCCTGACACCCCAACACCCCAGGAGAGTCTTCCCCATCACAGACTTGTGCTTTGGTTTTCTTTTCAGGCCACTGCCTGCCGGGGGCCCTTCCATCAGCCAGGGCCTGCCGGCCTCCCGTTACAACACCGCTGCGGATGCCCTGGCTGCTCTTGTGGATGCTGCTGCATCTGCTCCCCAGATGGATGTGTCCAAAACGAAAGAGAGTAAGCACGACGCCACCAGGTTAGAAGAGAATGTGAGGAGCAGGGCAGCAGTCAGTGAGCAGCAGCTAGAGCAGAAAAGCCTGGAGGCGGAGAAGAGAGCCGGTCAGTGTCTGTACACCTCTTCAGCCCTGCCGAGTGGCAAGCCCCAGCCTCACTCTGCAGTAATTTACTCTGAGGCTGGGAAAGAGAAAGGGCCTCCTCCCAAGTCCAGATATGAGGAAGAGCTAAGGACTCGAGGAAAGACCACCATTACCGCAGCTAACTTCATAGACGTGATCATCACCCGGCAGATTGCCTCGGACAAGGACAGCAGGGACCGTGGCTCCCAGAGCTCAGACTCTTCCAGTAGCTGTATGTATCTCGGCCCGAGCCCGCCCCACGGGACCACAAATGGAGTCACCTGACTCCAGGGGAAGTGAAGCACACGGTGTGAATGTAATGGAGAGGTTGTGTGGGTTAGTGGTGCACGAAAGTCTCTCCTGCTGTTATGCCTTTAAATATCTGAGCATCTTAAGTACACTGTCACGTGTTTGCTTGAGGAACTTGGCCTTTCTGGGCATGAAGTCAAAGGGAGGCAGTCGGAGGCAGAGCCGCTCACATTTCAGGTTCTGCAAATGGCTTCAAGATCTCATTCCTCAGGAGACCCTTCTAAGGCACGCATCAGGGTCTAGGGTGGTTCCCCAAAGCCACTAGTAACCTTTTTCTAAGATACAGATTTTTTTAAAAGACCACCTTATTGATAATTATGATTATTGGTAATTGGTATTTCTTATAACTTGGATTTTGAGCAAGTGTAAGAATTCAGCAACCTACAGTAAAATGCTAGAAAAGTTGTTTTAAATGTATCTTAAACTACATCCTAAATTCTCTATTGAATTTCTGAAGGCAAGTATTTAAACACATATCCCTTAGTATTGAAGTAATGTAACCACACATAGTAATCTCTCATTTCCATTCGTGAATCAAGTAGAGTCGGAGACCATGACCAGTGGGTCCTGTGCACTGCCCAGCGTGCAATGCAAGGTTCTGGCTAGTCTGCACCTGATCCTGACTTGTTTGGGTAAATAAATAGCCCCGTGGCTGAGGTCTGGAGAGAAGCTTGGTAGCCCTTTGTGTCCATGAAAGATATCTATTAGCCTGGACTGTGGAAATCTGCAAAATCGATGCTATACCTACAGAAAATTGGGACAGTCTCTAGTTGTGTGACTGGGCCGTCTGGCGGGAAGTCACCAGCACACATGTGGTGACCATCCTGGGGCCTGAGGAATGCTTGCTAATTACCTGACATCACTTCCTTTTTGCGTCACAGAATGTCTGCGAGCAGTCTGGCTGCTTTTCTGAGGGTTTATGTTTCTGAGCATAGTTTTATTTTCATCACTGACTCGATTCCTTGTGTGAAGCGCCCAGGCTTCTCCTGGTTACCCAGCATGGCTTTCAGTTCTTCCTCAAACCCCCTCCTCCTGGCCCCCGCCCCAGACATCAAGAGCACTGAGCTCCCAGGAGCACCAGGCCTCCTGCCTCCTGTGCTGCCCTGGGGAGCAGACTTTGGGAACTGCACCCAAACAGTGAACAGTGATTGCTGCCCGTCCCAAAGTAGTACCACTTAGTTTACATATAGTGTCATATTTTAGTTTCCAAAGTGAGTTTCCACCCTTGTTACCAGATCTCTGTCCTGAGTATACTAGAGGCAGGTCCTTGCAGCTTCTGTGACCTGGTGGGGGCAGGAGAGGGCTGTTGAGTCGAGGTTGAGGAGTGGGTGGTGCACTAGTAGTAGAGTTCTTCCCCACCTTCTGCCCTGTGTCCAGGACCTGACCACGCTTGCTGACCTAGCCGGGGTCACATACCCTTTGGGCCGCTAATCATTTCCTCGGACGCTTCAGTGCACCCAAAAGTACACACAGCACTCTTGAGTCAGAAGGGTCCTGAGCAGGAGATCACACCCCTCCCTAGCAGCTCCCCTGTTCTCGACTCTGAGGCCCTGGCAGGACTGAGGAAAGCGCCTGGACCCCCACTGCCTAGACCCTCAGTTCCCAAGGGCACCATCTCTTGGAGGGCCCTGCTATGACGGACGCATGCTCCCTTCCTCCCTGCGGACATTCACCGCCACCTCTGTTCATGTTCACATGGTAACATGGGGCTAAAGATGGGAGTCATTTTTGTCAGCAGCACTCAATGATTTGAGAAAATTATTACATGATGTTAATTAATCCACAGCTTTGAAGTTGTCCTGGTGAAGAAGAGCAGACTATCCGGGATGGAAGTGACTTGGAAGTGTGTACTGTTGAGGTCTCCTCTTGTTGGTTTAATCTCTTGTGATGAATTTCCTGGTGATTTTCTTTTTCAGCCCCCAGGAGAAGGTCAAGCTCTGTTTCTGATCTTCACCTCAAGGTTTTAGAGCCTGCAGATTTTCAGGAAACTCTGTGCCTTGCCAAGAGGAAGCGATTAACTGACCTTTGCCACCATGCATTGAACTCCTTGTTTATTTGTTTTGTTTTGTTTTTTTCCCATTAACCTGAGGTGCCATTGAACATTTCTGACGAGTAAAAACTGAAAATATGCAAATAGGTTTGAAGAGCTTGGGACTTCTGAGCTTGACATAAGATTAGTTTTAAAATAGATTCTTTTCTTTTCTTCAAGTATCTTCTCACCGGTATGAAACACCTGGCGATGCTATTGAGGTGATAAGCCCTGCCAGCTCTCCCGCACCACCCCAGGAGAGGCTGCCGGCCTACCAGCCGGAGGTCGTGAAGGCGAGCCAGGCAGAAAGTGGGTCTCCTATGTCTTCACATGTGCTTCCTGTAGTCTGTCCAGGGCATGTTCAGAAGTAGCTTTTTGTTAGTTTTGTTTTAGAGTAATCTTCTGTGAGTCTAGAAATGTTTTAAGACTGCTCTAATGGAAAACTATTTTTAAGTCATTGATGACTTTTTTAATGTTTTAATGATATTGAAAATAGTTGATATTAATTTTGTTTGCCCACTTGTGCTTTCGCATTTTATTCTATGCTAATCTTCTGATGTCTGTCAGTGAATAAATATTTTTTCTTCAAAATTAAGATATGAATTCCCCCTCCTGTGTTTCTCTGAGCTATGTTTAATCTTTGCTCATGAGTGAAAGGTGGGCCTCCCTGCAGTAAGACATCTGTCTGTCCCCTGTTAGACGAAGCCCCCAGACAGTACGAAGGACCACTGCATCACTACCGGCCGCAGCAGGAGTCCCCGTCCCCGCAGCAGCCACCGCCCCCACCCTCACAAGCCGAGGGGGCGGGGCAAGTACCCCGGACACACCGGCTCATCACACTTGCTGACCACATCTGCGTGAGTTTCTCACTACTTTTATTAGCTAGCGGGGTCTTTGTTTGTACAAGATCACACAGAAGGCCACATTTCACATAGAACCACAATAAAGATATCTAGATTTATGTTACACTTCTTTTTTTTTTGGAAGTGCTCAATGGATTTAACCAGTTCCTCCTTTTCTCTTTCACAGCAAATTATCACACAAGATTTTGCTAGAAATCAAGTTTCCTCGCAGCCCCCCCAGCAGCCTTCCACTTCTACATTCCAGAGTTCACCATCTGCCTTGGTGTCTACACCTGTGAGGACGAAAACATCAAACCGCTACAGCCCAGAATCCCAGTCTCAATCTGCTCACCATCAGAGACCAGGCTCGAGGGTCTCTCCAGAAACTCTAGTGGACAAATCCAGGGCCAGGTATGGTCTCCCTCGGCCACACACAGGTTCCCCAGCAGTGAGACAGTCAGACTCTTACCTTCACGTTGGGAATTCATTTCTTACCCAGAGTTTCTTTACCTTCATTCCCTGGAAAGTGTAATTGAGAGCTTTTCCTTTGTGTATTATTCTTGGAATGTCCACTGTCTAGGCAGTTGGTCCTATATGTTTTTATTATGTGTCCATAAGTTGATTGCTGTCCTCTGTCTGTGGGTTTGCAGACAGTACTGTGGCATGGATGGTTGGGTGGTAATGCTGGGACACTGCCTGGGTCTTCAGAATCACAGTGTGTTCAGATGTTTAGGAAGCTGGCGTTAAATAATGTGAGGCTGCTCAGTACAGGGCTCTTTCCAGTGTTCTCCCCAGTGCTCTGCACTTGGAAGTTGAAGGTTGTGGGCTGAGTGTTGGTGTGCAAGTTAGTTGATGGAGAGCAAGCAGCACACAGATTTGTAAAGTTCATAAAGATGCTGAGAACAAGTCTGGGGGTCAGCAGGTCAAGGACTCTGCAAATATCTGGAGACACATGGCAGGTGGATGGACCAGGGCAGTGGAAACAGCAGTTGATTTTGTAGCAGGCCTGGTTCTCCAGCCTGCCTGCCAACCCCTAAGTTAGCAGAGAACATAAAGGAGTAAGAACAGTATATTGGCTGAACAATACTCTTTGGGAAAAAACTTTATTGTGGGATTTTTTTGAACATACAAAAGTAGAGAAAGTGTAACATGCCAGCACCCAGCACAGGCCCCATGTGTTTCATTATCCCCACCTCAAGCTGGAGTGTTCTGAAGCAAATTGCAAATGACGTAAGTCATCTCAAGCAGCTGGATGATCTTAAGGATATGATGAAAGCATTCTCTTTAAACAAAAAAGAGCTTCAGTTATCAAAGAACAGAAAGTTATAACAGTCATTCATGATACATTCTTGATACAAAGTGCTATGTAGATTTTGAACAGTTGATGGCCATTTATGAAAAACAAATTGTTTTTATTTTTTCACTTATCATTTCCACATCACTGCACCTTGCTTTTGAATGAGGAAGGTTACATTTCTTTCATTGATTTTAGTCAGATTACCTGGTTTTACAGTTTAAAATATTTACATAATTCATAGTTATAAAACAGTATTATTGATTTTTCAACCTATGAGCAAAACACAGAGCAGTTGTTCTAGAGTTCTGGAACAATGTAAATGCTGTAAATCACATAAAAATGGCTGAGTAGGCTATATAAAGTAGACAAAGATTAAAATCAATGTAGAGAAGGTAGTAAAATCCTTCATCTTTCCTGGTAGGAGACTGATAGCTACTGTTTCAAGTTTTGATACACAAAGAAAGGTATACTATTTTGGTAAAGTGTGAAAGTCACTCAGTCATGTCCAACTCTTTGCAACCTCATGGACTGTACAGTCTGTGGAATTCTCTAGGCCAGAATACTGAAGTGTGGGTAGCCTTTGCCTTCTCCAGGGGATCTTCCCAATCCAGGGATTGAACCCAGGTCTCGATCCTGCATTGCAGGCGAATTCTTTATCAGCTGAGCCCCAAGGGAAGCCTAAGATTGGTAGTTACCTCTAAATCATCTAAATAATCAAAAAGCTAAAAGAAATGGTAAAAAATGGCCACCTCTAATTGGATGGGGTAGACTGGGGAAAGAAATGACCAACAATACTAACCTATTGAAAGTGTGAATGTGAAGTAAGTGTGAATGTAATGAAAGTGTGAAAGTGAAGTCGCTCAGTCGTGTCCGACTCTTTGCGACCCCATAGGTTGTAGCCTACCAGGATCCTCAGTCCATGGGATTTTCCAGGCATGAATACTGGAGTGGGTTGTCATTTCCTTCTTCAGGGGATCTTCCCGACCCAGGGATCGAACCCGGGTCTCCCACATTGTAGGCAGACGCTTTACTGTCTGAGCTGCCAGGGATGCAATAATAATGAAAGCATATATTAAAGGTCACTGATGGCTTTTATTCATTTTTTTAAAAAATTAGAATGTGCTGGGTCTTAATTGTGGCACTCAGGATCTTTAGTTGTGATAAGTGGCATCTATTAATAGTTCACAGTATTTGAGGCGACTTTTTTCTAATACTCAGTGTCAGCTTTTGTTCTCTGAAATGACTGAAGTAACCAGCTAACCAGTGTCTGTGTGTAGGGTGAGCCGAGGTGAGCCCGGGGAAGACAGTCTCACGTTTCATATGTTGCAGCATCAGGCCCGGAAAGTCCCCAGAGAGGAGTCACATCTCTTCGGAGCCATATGAGCCCATCTCCCCGCCTCAGGTTCCTGTTGTGCATGAGAAGCAGGACAGTGTGCTGCTGCTGGCCCAGCGTGGAGCCGAGCCCGCGGAGCAGAGGTACGCAGGGGCAGGGCCACGTGGCCGTGCGTGCGCGCACTTGGTGCCTGCCGTTTTCCTGAAGTCAATGCAGTTTTTTCTCTTTGGATCACGTGTCAGGAGAATCACTTTGTCTGTTTTCCTAGTGATCAAATGCTAGTGGATTTTACTGAAGAAATTATAATATTTAAATAGATGATAGAAAATGGTCATTCTTCTTCTTGAAATTCCTTCTGGATCTTTCTTAAAACCTTTTTGTCTGTGTGGACATTGAGCCCCTAAAGTGCCCGCCAGGCACCTGGTGTCATGTGCAGTGCATGGAAGGTTGCAGTGAGCACTGCTTGCTATTTTCTCACCAGTTTCTAATCCTTACCCCACCCTGTGAATTAGTAGATGTTTATTCCACTGGGTTTAGATGCTTTTGGTTTGGCTCCTTTCAGTGAAATGAGGAAGAAATCCAGTTTTGGAAAGGGAATGATATTAACTTCAATTATATGTTTACATGTTTTCCCCTAAGCTTGTGAGTTTTTGAGGACAGAGACATCTTAGTCATTTTTCTGTCACCTTCCTTGTCACGTTTGAGTGATGGACCCAATTAGGTTATCAGCACCTTTCGTGTGTTCTCTGTTACTGTCTCTGGCACTCGTTGACTCCTGGGTAGTCCTGAGCTAGTTGAGGAGACTTGTGTTTCTAAATGCATTAGCATAGGAAGCTGCAGACGAAATGTGAAAGCCTTTACATGGTGCTCAGCTCATGCAGGGCTGGAAAGATTCTAACAAATACAGAGTTTTATTTCTGTATTGTCGCTATGCTGTTAGGTCTAATTTGTCTACTGCTTAGTTGTGAGTGCTTGCTATTTTATAGGCAGGTATGCTAGTAGTTACAATCTTACTGTACTTCAAAGTAATTTTGCTGGTTAAACAGTCTCCAGATTATGTGGTCACCCTCAATACACCAGGGTCTGTGCTGCAGAGAAGACAGGAGCATGGCAAGCTCTTTTGAAGGCTCCTGTTACCACCTGTTCACTCTCTTGGTTCTAGACTGTCTCCACTCCAGGGCTCCTTTTCTTATATCCCCTTGGCCCCAAATATGTCAGTGTTCAGATGGAGAGGGCCTTGGGCCTGGCACCCCCCCCTGGGGTGGGGGTGGGGGGGTGGGCAGGGAAGGGAGTAGGAGTGCGTGGTGGTAACACGTGACTGTTCCCAGCAGGAATGACTCCCGCTCACCAGGCAGCATAAGCTACCTGCCTTCATTCTTCACCAAGCTCGAGAGCACATCCCCCATGGTGAAGTCAAAGAAGCAAGAGATTTTTCGTAAGTTGAACTCCTCTGGTGGAGGTGACTCTGATATGGGTAAGTGGGATTTCTTTCATGAACCCCCATAAAATGCACATAAATAATGATAGCTCCATGTCGCCTCTCACGTTACCCTCGAGTATAAGGACTCTGGCAGGCCGGTCCAAGCGCATACGATCCTGAACTCCTCTGTAGGCCTCTGTCGGCTCTGCTTGGGGGGCTTTCTGTGAGGGAGCCCCACCCAGCACATGTGCTGCTGCCTGTTTTCTCTTTGAACAAGTGTGGGTCTTGGAAGTGTGTCTTACGTGGGGCTGGATTGGCTCTCCAGTGTTTACCCCCTGGTCTGCCTCTCATTTGGGTAGATAAGACCATCCAGCTGTCTGCAGACAAGGTCGTGCTCCTCCAGTTGTCTTTCCTCTGTGGATGTGCACAGGCGGCCAGCTCTAAGCATTCCTACCATCTCAGGTGCTAGTCACTAAAAACCTTTCATTCAGTTAGCCTTTCAGTCGGTTCTGAGTACTGTGGTAGGACCCATCCCTAATTCATCATCTTAAGGGGGTCTGAGACGACACTGGGTGTTTCGATGACTTATGTGTTCAGTTCCAGTGACTGGATGTTGGTACCAACACCAGCCTCCTGAGATGAGCTGCCTATGGACTGTGCCTCTCCCTCTGTCCTCTGTGTCTGTCACACCAAGCGTGGGACCAGGTTGTGTGTGCTTGTTTGCTCCTTTCTCTGCTCTGCCAGTCTTTGTGGATTACCTTCAAAGCACACCTCCCCACCACTGAGGATGGTGCCAGCCTCAAGTCAGTGGAAACAGATGGTGCACGGCCTGGGTATCACTGCCTGCTCCAGGCCCTGTTGTCAGCATGAATGTGGACTATCTCCTGTCACCTTCAAAACACTCTCCATGCCACATGTTGGCATCATCTCCACTTAGTAGATGAGGACACTGAGGCTTGGGTTTAGTGACTATTGACGAGACAGGGCTGTGGTTCAGACTCATGGATGCCAGCTCTGGAGTCCATGTCTCCAGTAGTTCTACACTCAACACCCTCACCAGGGCTGTCCATAAATGCCCATGAGGACAGAACTCTTAACAGCTGGGCTGGAACCTTCCTCGCCTGCTGTTTTCATACTCACGCCATCAGCCAGGTTCACTCGTCCCCTTCTCCTTACATGTATCCAGTGATCCAAGGCTCTGGGGAAGCCCTGCAGAACCCAGGGTTTCTACCATCAGTAACCCTGCCAACTAGGAACTGCCAGGTGGAGTTATGTTTGGGTCTGTGACACTGTGATTAACAAAAGTTGAAAGTTCCAGAGGAGAAAGGATGAGCCCAGTGTCACTTGTTTGTGTAGTTATCCCAGCTCTTAATTACTAGATTCGAGAAGTCCAAGTCCTTGGCAACCAAGATGGCTTCACTTCAGCTCAGGGCTCCCACTGAGGACATCAGTGCTTTTATTCTGCGGAAGCCTTCATGCTCTAAACTTAGCAAATCTGTTCTCCCTGCTGCTGTTAACACTACTGAACAACTTATCCCTTCCAGAAATGCTCTATTCCCTTGGTTTTCAGTATTGCTGTTTCCAGTTTCTTCCTCTGCTTCTTTGGCTGATTCTTGTGTCTCCTTAGAAGCCAGGTCTTGCTCAGCAGGGCTCTGATTTGGTGGTTTGCCTCTGGCACTGTATTCTCTGAGCCATTTCATCCACTCTTGGCGGTTTAAACTGAGTCTGAAAACTCCCAAACTTGCATCTGGAGTTTAGCTTTTTTCTATTAGCACTGAACTCTACTTAAATCTTTGCAACCATATTTCTTCTTGAAGGTCTCACTGGTGCCTTAAGTGTCTAAAAACTCTGCACACCATGTCTCCCCACAGAGTGCTGCGGTCCTCCCCTCCTGCGTCCTCATGTCCTGGGCAGCCCCTGAACTGCCTTTCCCCACCTCTGAGGAACGGTCATGTCCTCTCATAAGCCTGTCTTACTCCCATTAGTCCCGAGCGATGCAGGGATTTGGGAATGGGCGTTTCACTCAGCTCCCAGGTGATTCTGTTCTGAGGGCCTCAGGAAGTACCTTCTGACCTAAACCCCACAGGTATAGGAAAGAGTGTATTTAAGTTCAGTATGTTATTGTTGGTTGAACAATGAAATTGTCTTCATCTGACCATTTTTGATCAATAAGAACATGATGATTTTCTTATTCAGCCAAATAATGGCTTGGTATGTATTTGTGAAATGAATGAGTCCTATTCTCCAAGTTTCTATGAGAACTACAAGGCCCTCCTTACCCCCTCATACTATTTCAGGTTCAGTCGGTTTACTGTTCCCTGATCCGTGAGTGAGGAGCCTTCTCCCCGCCCCTCAGTCTCCCTGTCCCAGGAGTCGGCATCCAGGCTCCCTCACTCCAATCTGCGTGGACAGGCCTTCTCCCTGGTGCAGGCCCACCCTTCTTTGAGACAGTGCTTGTCTGGCCACTAACTTACTTCCTGGATTCTTTTTCTTTCAAGTTCTCAATCTTGAGTTGGAAGGCATGATAAAAACACTGTTTCTGTTCCCAAACTTCTTCCATTTTTGGGCACAGTGCTTTACAAGTAGTTCCCAGGTTGTCCGAGTTGCTGTCATTCAAATAGAGCAAATGACAGACTGCACAGTTAGCAGGAATGAACAGAACTGACAGGCAGGATTTCTGCCTCACCCTGGCAACTGCAGCAGGGACACGTGGTCATGTTTGTTCCTTTCATGGGGGTGTTCTCCCCAGGATCTAATCCCACACCTGCTGTTTGCAGGGTCTCTTCCCTGGAAGCTTGGGTTCCTGTCCTGAGGCCAGCTTTTCCCTATGTGTGTTTCTCTGGCGCTGCAAAAGGTCCTTTCCTTCCTGAGCTGTATTACTCCTGTTCTGATTTCCTTAAGAAAGTAATTATTTCTCTTTACCTTCACTTAATGGGTAAAAAATAAAGTTGATCATGGAAAATAAGGTTAATTTACTGTAGAATTTTTTTGGAGACTTTATCTCTTTCCGTGTATGTGATCATCATATCTCAGTTAATTAACTTGAATGTTTGTTTTAAATACAGCAGCTGCTCAGCCAGGAACTGAGATCTTTAATCTGCCAGCAGTCACCACCTCAGGTAAGATTCAGAAAACTCATACAATAGCAGTCAGTCCAGCAAATAGGCAATGCGTACTGGCTGCATGCCAGGAACATCATTTAGTCGGGGAGAGACACGGAGGCAGTCACAGTAAAAAGTGAACTGAGATCAATACGTACTTATTGAAAACATAAATGAACAGAGAATCGAAACTACTGAGCTAAAAAGAGAAGAAAACCGTCGAGCAACTTTCATACCAGTGGGTGCCTGATTTAACACAGGAAAGCACACACTCTCGGGGGATTAGCCGCCTCTGTGGGGGCTGTGCTGCCGACACTGTGCCAGGGCATGTGTCCTGGGCGGTTCCTGCTCCTGTCCTCCCTCAGAGTCAGGCAGGTGCTGTGCCGTCTCCTGCAGGCTCCGTGAGCTCCAGAGGCCACTCCTTTGCTGACCCTGCCAGTAACCTCGGGCTGGAGGACATCATCCGGAAGGCGCTCATGGGGAGCTTTGACGACAAAGTGGAGGATCACGGGGTGGTCATGCCCCAGCCAGTGGCAGTGGGGCCTGGGGGCGCCAGCACCTCGGTGGTGACCAGCGGCGAGATCCGGAGGGAGGAAGGGGACCCATCGCCTCACTCAGGTAAGGGGCTCATTTTTGTGCTTTTCACCATGTCTCCCAAGAAAAAGCCAGTCCATACGCCAGGTTCAGATGGGTCATGAAGAGATTTCATTTATGTGCTCAGTCACCTCTATGTTTTTCAACCTCTTCAGACATGTTACAAGTGACATAAAATTAAAAGGGGTGAAAGTTTCTACCCAGAATGTCACCCTCCAGTGTATCAGTGTTTCTGTTTTCATCTAGTTATTATCTGTGTGCATACATTGTAATACTGATGCAATTTCATATTCTGCTTTTGAATCAAAGTGACTTGCTATTGTAATAAAAGTGACAGGCCCCGTATAAAAGAAATTTTAAGCCACAGGGAAAAATAAGGGGAAAAAATCCTTTGGATCACATTGTATAGAAAGCTAGTGTTAAAAAGGGTAGCTTACTGGAATGAGGTCATTATACATCCTGTTATAAGCATACAAAAAACCATGACTCTATGCTTTATATGTTTATATATAACCTTTTTTCTTAATCTGTTGAGAATCTCTCTTATGCCTTACTTAAAAATAAACTAAAGGTCAGCAACATTTCAAGTTTTTTCTCCTGTTGTGGTCACGCAAAAGATCTCACTAAGGATTAAGAAAATGATTAAAGAGATGAGTGGTTTTATTTACTTTTCCCTATATATGTTAATGTTAGGACAATATAAATTCACTTCCTGCTCTCAAAGATGAGACAGTCTTCTGCTCTAACCTTCAAGTGTTACTGATTTTAAATGTGTGTGTGTGTGTTTTAAGTTACAGTACTGGTGACTTACAGAGTTCTCCTTGTTGTGTAGTCTTTCTGTCACAGCATTTCTTGGTGGAGGTTTCATACCCTGTTTTTACAAAAAGGCTGCTGTGTCCTGAGGTCCTTCCTGCTCAGGAAGGTCTCTTGCTGCCTTTGTTTGAGATAATGGTTTGGCAGGTGTTTCAATACTAGGTTGGTGCAAAAGTAATTAAGAGTTTTTGCATGGTTGAAATTTGCTGTTTGATATTGGAATACTTTCTTAAATGTTATGTTACACATCATTTTAATGTACATTTCTTTATGTTTTTTTGCTAATGACTTGTTACTTGCTGTTTATGTTTATTTTAGACTATGGAAATGATGTTAGACAAAAAGCAAATTCAAGCGATTTTCTTATTCGAGTTCAAAATGGGTCATAAAGCAGTGGAGACAACTCACAACAACAGTGAATTTGGCCCAGGAACTGCTAACAAATATACAGTATAAGTGGTGGTTCAACAAGTTTTGCAAAGGAGATGAGAGCCTTGAAGATAAGGAGCATAGTGTCCGGCCACCCCAAGTTGACAACAAGCAAGTGAGAGCCATCATCGAAGCTGATCCTCTCACAAGCACACAAGGAATTGCTAAAGAACTCAGGGTTGACCATTCTACAGCTATTTGAAGCAAATTAGAAAAGTGAAAAAGCTGGATAAGTGGGTACCATATGAGCTGACCAAAAAATTGTTTTAAAGTGTTGTCTTCTCTCATTCTACACAACAATGAACCATTTCATGGATTGTGACATGAAATGAAAAGTGGGTTTTATATGACAGCCAGCAACAACCAGCTCAGTGGTTGGAAGCAGCAGCTCCAAAAGCACTTCCCAGAGTGAAACTCGCACCGAAGAAAAAGGTCATGGTCACTGGTGGTCTGCTGCCCATCTGATCTACTACAGCTTTGAGTCCTGGTGAAACCATTACATCTGAGAAGTATGCTCAGAAAATCGATGAGATGAACCGAAAACTGCAACGCCTACAACTGGCAAAAAGCCCAATTCTCCACCAAGTCTGACTGTTCAACTTCTGAAGCATTGGTTCTATGACGTGCAAACTGGGCTATTAAGTTTTGTCTCATCTGCCATATTCGCCCGACCTCTTGCCCACTGACTACCATTTCTTCAAGCATCCTGACAACTTTTTGCAGGGAAAATGCTTTCCAAGAGTTCGTTGAATCGCAAAGTACGGATTTTTACACTACAGAAATAAACAAACTCACTTCTCAATGGCAAAAATGTGTTGATTGTAAGGGTTCCTATTTTGATTAATAAAGATCTGTTTGAGCTTAGTTACAATGATTTAAAATTCACGGTCTGAAACTGCAATTACATTTGCACCAACCTACTATTAAGACACATACTTTTCTCAAAACCTCCTGTAAACATGGTTGTATTCATTCCGGTGTTCATTGTTGTGTAAGAAGTAAGACCAGATTCCCTCCCACCTCCTTTTTTAGTGATGACATTTTATCTGCCCAGAGAATCCTTTTTTCCTCAACTTCAATAAGTATCACATTGTGTTAGTGTTCTTTGGCCTGTGTAGATTCCCTGATCACGGAAGGGTGTGTGCACCTTCCCAGTTTCTGTGTTCAGGGGAAGAAATTCTATCAGATGTTCCTTAGTTATTTTCTCCATTTGAGAAAGCTGCCTTTTTGCTGGATAGGCTTTTGTCCTCTGTTACCTTCTCATTGTTTTAATCATCGTGATACTTTTTCTGTTGCTTTTACTCTTAAATTTTTCCTTTGCACCAGTATTTTCTTTTCCTTCATGGCTTGACTTCCTAATAACTCTTTTCATAAGCCTCATTCATTTTGGTGATCACTTCTTTGAGCTTCTTTTGTAAATGGGCTTCATGTATTGTGAAGTTTTCCCCCAGTGTTTGAAGTACACCCCCACCTCCATTTTCTGTTGGGTTATATTGTCCTCCTTATCACCAAGGACTTGCATTTCTTCTCTCTCCAGATAGAGGGGTACAAAATGCTTTCTCTCCCTTTTTTTCTGTACCCCAAGGATTGGGGGCAGGATGAAACCATTCTGCTGGGGCTGCTGACCTGGGCTCTGGTCTCTTCTGAGATCCTTTTAATGTTCTATGGAAGAGCCCAGTTGGGGCTTCCCAGTCCTGCAAACCAACTAAACAGCCTGGAGAGGCTGAAAGGGATTCCTTGACTTGCCTGGCCCAGCTGATGTCCAACAGCTTGAAGGGGCTTCTCTTGTGCAGATTTTCTTCCTCTCTTCACTCTCCTGTAGATTGGTAAGGGCAGAGATAGTGAGGATTTAAGATTTTTGTCAGTTTTCGGCTTCTTAGCAGTTTCTGCTCCAAGGCCAAGAAAGAAACGATGTTCCAGAAATGTTAATTTCTTGTTACCTGTTTCTGAGTTTATGGCAATGAGGACCTACCCCCTTTGACTTTAGTTGCTGCAAGTGAGTTCTGCCTCTTTTGTATGTTACCAGGGTCTGGATTCTTCATGCTCCCATCCTGCTTTCTCTTGTAGCAGATGGTCAGCAGCACTAGGGTGCCCTTTCAGTTTGCAAATGTGACTACTGTGTGTCAGTAATGACAGTTTATTCCACTTTCAGGAGGAGTTTGCAAACCAAAGCTGCTCAGCAAGGCTAACAGCAGGAAATCGAAATCGCCTGTCCCGGGGCAGGGCTACCTGGGAGCGGAGCGGCCCTCATCGGTCTCCTCTGTGCACTCAGAAGGGGACTACCACAGGCAGACGCCGGGCTGGGCCTGGGAGGACAGACCCTCTTCGACAGGTGAGGGGCTGCTGCCAGGGCGCAGGTCTGCATGCCGCTGGCATCAGGGCCTTGGTTAGTGCTGCTCCTAAAATCCGACGCTCTGTTAGGAAAATGCTTTCCATTGTGGTATGGTTAAAGGGTTCCACTGTTCTTAACAGAAACTGAATGTATATAATCTGAAAAATTTTAAGAATATAGGTTTGATTACCAGCCCAGCTGCCCTCAGGCCCCTTGCATCTGTGGAGAGCTGGCGGCGGCACCTGACATAGGTGCACAGCTGGGACCTGTGGCTTCAGCTCTCCCACACCTTCTGCACAGACAGCCTCAGAGGAAGTTCTTAGGAGCTAATGGGAACCGAGGCCAGAAATAGAAGAAAGCTGTCACTCCTCTGTAGGCTGTCTTTACAGACAGAAAAACAAAACTGTAGGATATTTTTAACGTTGGCCCTTTTATGACTATTTATAAGCTTTTTTTCTCTTTGGCTGCACTGAGTCTTGGTTGTGGTGCTTGGACTTCCCTCTTCTGCTGTGCAAGGGTTTCTTATTGCGGTGTAGCAGCCTGTCTAGTTGTTGCCTGCTAGCTTAGTAGCTGGGTTGACCTGTGGCATCTGAGTTCCCTGACCAGGGACCGAATCTGAGTTCCCTGCATTGGAAGCAGGTTCTTAACCACTGGTCCACCAGGAAAGTCCCCATTTTGTAAGCTTTTAAAAATTACAAATAGCCATGATAATAATGGTGGGCTTCCCTGGTGGCTCAGACTGTAAAGAATCCACCTACAATGCAGGAAACTCAGGTTTGATCTCTGGGTCGGGAAGATCCCTTGGAGAACGGAATGGCTACCCATGCCAGTATTCTTGCCTGGAAAATTCCATGGACAGAGACTGGTGGGCTGTAGTCCATGGGGTCACAAAGAGTCGGACATGACTGAGTAATAAACAGTTTCACTATAACAGTCATCTTGAACAATTTTTTTAAGTAAAACTGGGATAGTTGCTGTGGATTTTTAGAGTTTCATCTGTTCTTTTCAGAGGAGTTAACTCCACAAATAGATCAATGAAAAAATCTAAATTGTGTCCTCATTAAGTTATAAATTTCATATTGGTATTATAAAACATCATAATTTAAGATTCACTTAAATCACTTTATAGTTTCTCCCACCACATGCAGAGTGGGGGCTTACTGGTTTGAAAACTTCCTAGAGCAATGACTGTTTCTTCTTTTGTCTCTTTGATGCTGTGCTGTGTGCTCTGGTCTTAGCATTTCTTAGATTGTAGGTGGCTTCCTGGAGACAAGGACACGATATAGGAATTGGCAGAAGGTGCAGTGCTGTTGTGAGGCTTGTGTGTCCCCCTCTGAAGCCTGTCCCTGGGTCTGTCTGCCCCTGACCAGCTGAACCTCCTGCTTCCTCCTGTGTTACCAGAGTCTTAGTTTGAGCCAAAAATTCAGGAGTTCCACTTGGATTCAGCAGCAGCCCAGCCTCCAGTGCTCAACTCACTGGCTTTGTGTCCTTCTGGACGGTTGGTTGGTTGGTTGCTTGGGAACAGCGCAGCAGGGGAGGTCTGTTCTGCCCCCACCCACTCAGATGTGCTAACCTCTCTCCGCAGGCTCGACACAGTTCCCCTACAACCCCCTGACCATGCGGATGCTCAGCAGCACGCCCCCTGCGCCCGTCGCCTGCACTCCCACCTCGGCCAACCCGGCTGCCCCGCACCAGCCGAGTAGGATCTGGGAGCGGGAGCCGGCCCCGCTGCTATCCGCGCAGTACGAGACGCTGTCTGACAGCGACGACTGACCTGTGGGCAGGGGTCCCAGGGTGCGCGGGGCTCCAATTTCTGGTAGCTTCCTCTCTAACTGCAGGCCCGAAGCCTGCCCGCCTAGGATTTGTGCCCAGAGACTTTTCTGGAGAGCCTGGACCATGGACAGTGAAGAGACAATGGAAATTCATTTTGGGGTCAAATGAGGGGAAAAGGCTGTCTTGATACAAGCAGTTCTGTGGATGATAGTAATAGTGGAGGGTCGACATGTAGAGTTTTTAAAAAAGTGGATAATTCCTGTTTTACATCTGTTTGTAAAGAAACCATGATGTCTCTAATCACTCTGTAAATAGAGGACCTTTTTGCAGTGTTCCCTTCGCTGTAGTATATCTGGTGTACTTATGTTCAATCAGCACATCAACTTGGGGGTGATTTTTTAAAAATCTCTCGTCTACCTTTTTAACCCTTGCCTTCCAAACAACGTCATACAGCCCAGTTCCATGGTGTTGGCTGTCACGGGCATTGTACTTTTATCCAATTTTGTCTCCTCTAAGCTCAGATTCCCAGTGATGTTTAAAATCTTGTGGAGATGTTTAGGTTTTTAACACATGCTGCCATAAAATCTGTACATTAACGTATTAGGGTCTAAAGGAGAAACAAAATTCTGCCATATTGTAAATTTCCAGGGCAGTCTTTTTTTAAATTAGAAGCACTGAAAACATAGTACTGCATGGGTATTGTTCTAGTTCAGTTTCTAACATTTTAAAGGCTTATTTGAGGTGTACGTACCTCGCTGTTACGCACACTAGTAATTAACCCCACCCTGGGTATTTGCCTGCATTTGATGCAGCAAAGCTTTTGGTTTGGAAATAAATCTGACTGCCCTGTCCACAGCTACAGTAGATGATTGTGACTGAAGGCTTTGGTGTCTCAAGTTAGCTGACGTGTCACTGGCTGAGTGGAAGGTGACACCTGGTACAGAGCCTCTCGGCCGTGCGTCCTCCTGGGCTCAGGAGGAGCAGACGGCCCTTCCACTGCATGCCACCCTGTGCTTACACTTTCACTTTGATTCCTTGTGGGCAAGTGTTTGTCATCAAATGTTTTCATTTCACCAAATCTCAAGGAGCAAATATTTAAAAGACTGATACTGGAGGACCAGTCTTAATCTTCATTAGTAACTGCTTGTTGAATTAAATTTTTTTCATACACTCAAGCATAGCACTGACACATCCTTCTGTAGCACATGGATGCTAATGGTTTGGGAGGTGTTTAGAACGGAAAGAGGTCCCAGGATGATAAACACTAGGACTTCACAGACTCCAAACTAGACGTGAGTTTTTCAACAGAAGTCCTCAAGCCTCTAAATACAGCAGCTGTCTGACAGCTGGAGGAGGAGATGCCTCCTTTGTAGTGACCGAGACCCTCCATCCCTTGGCATCAAGTCCCTGTTTAATAGGTGTTGACACAGGTTCAGTACTTTGCCCAAGTTGTTGAAAAAGCAACAAGGACAGGAATGCTAGCCAACACCTCTTGAGGCCTGTGGCTGCACCCACATGTAAGTGAGCTCAAAATAAGCTTCAGGTGGGGTGGGCAGGGCAGCGCTGCCTGGGCTCAGTTCGTGAAGGCTAGTCCTCTTTGTTCTGGGGCCTCAGTGCAGGGAACTGTACAACAGGCTCTGCAAACTCGGACTGTGTCACTGAGGGGGAGAAATTCCTCAGTGAAACTTGCACGGCAGAGAATACCTCCCTTTCAGCAACTCATGTAGCTGTGAAAAGGTAAACGCGCTAGATGCTGAAGGTGAGTAGTTACGACCCGGTTGCACTGAAACTTGAGTTTCTCTGAGTTAGACTTGATTAAAGGAATTAACCTGTTGAGACAATGAGAAGATACTTATATCAGCAAAATAGATTATTCTAATAGAAGATTCTGATCTGAGCCTAATTCCTGTGTTTTTAATTCTAAAGAGTCAATGACCTTTTTATGAGAAACTCAAAAGACTTCAGTATTGAATACATACAATACTGTTGTGGCATCTCCCGGTTTATTAGGAAGGGAGCCTTCGTGTGTACACAGGAGCCAAAGGTACCAGTTTATCCTCCCCGCCCCCACACCGGAAGGACTGCCGACCTGCCCCGAGGCAGGGACAACGCTCAAGACACACCATTCAGGTTAGGCCACTGACCTTCTCCTGGGGCTGAAAGAGTCCAAAGACCCCCACGGGGAGACTGAGAACCAAAACTCCGAGAGCTAGGGCTGGGGTCCAGGCAGTGCTTCCTCTATGGCCCCATTACTGTCACTATGACACCCCCAGGGTTCCCCTCTGAGCCAGGGGACCTGGCAGCCCTCAGACAACTCTGACCTGTGACTGGGTCCAGAGGGGGTGCATACTCAGAGGGGAGAGACCGTAGGAATTGTCATTCCTTTTTCTCCTTTTTTCACAGTAGTCTACAACCAGATAGGTACAAAAACAGGCAGTTCACTTAGTCCACTTTTATATATAATCTAAAGGGCATGCTACTACTTCCAAGTACCCGATTCCCACTTTAAAGCTTCACATCTGATGCTTTGTGGCAACCAAGATACTACTCTTCTATGCATTAAATCCCACAGTGGTCTTCATGAGACAGAGAATGAGAGCAAGCAACTCGCCATCATGAGACTGGTAGCTCTGGTCTGCCAGGTCTTGATAAAATAAGACATAGCAGCAAATCAATGAACCAAAACCTTATAGTAGAGATGCCCGCACCCCAGATGAACGCTGGCCCCTCAATCTGGCACGGTTCAGCACCTCCCCAACCATCCGTTAGAATAGAACACCGCCTGACAGCAGTCCTGAGAAACAGTCAGTCAGGGGAGGGGGGGTGTGCAAAACAAACAGCACAGCTTGTCCTCCACCAAGGCTTAGTTGAGGGGACGTGCATGTCATGGACAGAGGATTTAAGCCACTGACTGGGGGCCGCCAGGACTGGAACAGAGGTATCAGTCATGACAAAGGTCTGCTTTTTCTTGCCAGCTCGGCCAGCTCTTCCCTGATGTGCTGCACAGAAGCCTCGTCTCTCTTCAGTTCCGCTTGCCTCAGTGCTTCCCTATAGGTCTCTTCTGCTTGTGCGTACAGTTCTGGAACAGCCCAAGAGAAGGGAGAAAATGCATGTTTCATCGTGATTCTAAAACATTCTGAAGAGGAAGCACATGTGATGGGACAGCTCTAGTTCATGGTGTGAGACAAGTTATGACCCTGGGACGCCCAGACCTCAGGGAGCCCTTCCCTGATGGAAGTTCCGGTAAGGGACGTGTCCCTGCAGGTTTCTGAGCAGAGGGCAGAGCTTCCTGAGGACACATCAAGCTGTCCACATGCCAACAAGGAGGAGCCTGCGGAGCACTCCAGAAACAAGGGACCATGGCCTCACTGCCTGCCCTCAGCCCACCACCCAGGTCCCCGACCCACCGAGGGGCACCCCGCACCTCTATGTGTCAGGACTGCAGCCAGGTTGCTGAGCAGCACGTGCAGTTCAGGGTGTCCCACCTGCCTCGCCAGGTCTGACGCCCTCTGTGCGTGAACACAGGCCTCGCCAGTGTGGCCCTGTGTGTCCAGGGTAGTGGCCAGGTCATTGAGCAGCACGATGGTCTACATGGAAGAAAACAGCTGCTGCTTGCAAGCAAAGATTTGCTGGAGAAGGGACCAGCTGCCCACTCCAGTATGCTTGGGCCTCCCTGGGGGCTCAGCTGGTAAAGAATCTGCCCGTAGTGCAGGAGACCTGGGTTCAATCCCTGGGTGCGAAGATCCCACAGAGAAGGGAACGGCTACCCACTCCAGTATTCTGGCCTGGAGAATGCCATGGACTTGTCCATGGGGTTGCAAAGAGTCAGACACGACTGAGCGACTCTTCACTTTCCACAGCCCTAGTGTCTGGTGCTCTGTGGATGCCCTGAAAGGCTGTCTTTCCTAGCGGTGCCCCTTGGGGTCAGGTGTGAGCCTCTGTAAGTCAGGTGCATTTATCATTTGCACTGCACAGCAGCAGTCGGACCCTCTGGAAAATGATACAAACCTGGAAAGTAGGTAGCAGGATGAGTATTACTTATTAATTAATTTTCAAAAAAGCAGCAGCAAATAAACATAGCAGAAAGTAGTGACAGGATGTGACGCATCCTATGGCAAACCAGTACTCACGGTGACCTCTGGGCAGACCTAGTACCTCCCTGGCAGCCTCAGACCCTTCCTAGAAGGGAGGGCGGGAGGAGTGGATGCAGCAGGGCCCTGTGCTGAGGGTCTGTCTGCATTTCCTATTCTGGATTCTGAAACCTTCATCTTAAAACACCTGCTGTTGTTAAGACGCCCCCCCCTTACCTGTGGGTGTCTTTCTCCGAGTATTTCCTCAGAAATCTGCAGAGCTTTTTCATACATCCTCTGTGCCTGAGATGGCTGCTGGGAGAAGAGCAGGTAGCGCGCGTAGGTGTCCAGACACATGCCCAGAAGGAGCCGTGTGTTGGCCTTGTCGTCCGCTGAGAAGGAAACGCGAGCAGTTCTGGGTGCAATGAGCACAACCAGAAGTGGGGGCAGAGACGGGGCCAAGCGCCCTGAACACTGTCACTAAACAAGTCCTCTTGACCTATACTTTAACACAAGGTGATTAACATCTACACTGGTTCTTGGACCAGTGTGTGTTGGGAAGGGGGGTTCGCCAAACCAACAACTAGGTGTATACAAGAATTCAACTCCTCTGACACCACCTACCCAGAGAGTCCCCAGGTAACCCCCCACCCCACTCCAGACACGAGTCCAGGGTGTCACCTGGAGATCAGAGGTTCCTAGGACCCCTACCCTCAGGTTCAATCAGTTTGCTCGGGTGGCTCACAGATCACCTGTTTCTATAAGGGTTCAACTCAGGAACAGGTGAGGTGTGGGGGAGGGGCGTCCCGCCCTCTCCAGGCGCCACTGTCCCTGTGCCCTCCAGAAGAGCCCCAAGCCCCACCCTCTGGGGAGTTGATGGTGGCGTCTTTATTAAAGCACTCAGAACTGAGTCACCTTTCACCCCAGTCAGGGGTGAGACTGAAGGCTCCATCCCTCCAACCACGTGGTTGGCTCCACGGGCAACAAGCCCCTGTGCTTTAACAATAAGCTAAATCACTAAAACCACTTAAATTACTAAATCACTCCACTCTTAGGAAATCTGAAGCATCTGGGGAGTTCTGAGGCAGGAACTATGATGAACAAAGACCAATGCATGAGACATTTTCATCATCTGAAATAGATGATGAAATAGATATTTCATCAACCAAATAGATATTTCTTATAAGTCACAATTACTGTAACATAAGTAATGAACCTTTCCAAACCTTTTAAGACAAAGTCCACAAATAGATTAAAACAGTATTATTTTTAGTTTGAAACTAATATTACCTAGCATGAACCAGGTGAAGATAAACTAGAATGACAACAAAAAGCCTAGGGCCAATACAATTTTCTGGTATGAAAACAGCACTACAGAAAAGAACCAGAGAACATTCAGAATCCTGGGATGGAGAGTCACAACCCAATTTAAAAAACAGCTAATCTATTTTTTGAAGAACAGTAATAAAGGCTGCAGTGTATGGCAGCTTCCAACGTACCATGTCTGAAAAAGAAGAGCCAGACAGCAGGGCTGGCGACCAGCAGCTAACAGCAGTCAGCCAAGTAAAAGGCCTTGGAGCCACGACACAAACAGCACGTGAGTGGCGGCGAGCCGCGGAAAGGACGCACTGCAGACAGCTCAGCGGAGGGGGACGTTCACACGAAGGACTCAGAGGCTCCCTCGGATAACCTCATGGAGCACGATCACTGGACGCCCACGTGAAGGGGTTCAGACGGGTCTGTTTACCAACAAAGGGACTGCCACACTGAATACAACTCCTTCCCTATCTTCCAAGTTTAAATGGTGCATAGACTTTAAAGATGACAATGTTGCCAAATAAGTGTATGATCAGTTACTGAGGGGATAGTTTAAATAAAACAATGCAGATAAAGTATCTATAAAAATAATCTCAGACAGTAAAAGTGAAAATAAAACTTCTAGTAAAAATCCAAAGTTCTTAATCTAACCTAGTTATATATAAAAGGTAAATGATAATCATTTTAAAACCAAATTAGGAATAGTTTTAAATAGATCACCTTACAAATTTTAAATTATTATTAAACAAAAAGCACATATAAATTTATGGATAGGGACTTCCCTGCTGGCCCAGTGGTTAAGACTCTGAGCTCCTAATGTAGGGAGCCCAGGTTCAATCCCTGGTCAGGGAACTAAATCCCACATGCTGCAACTAAGACCTGGTGCAGCCAAATAAATTTTTAAAAAATTTATGAATAAATATAACCAATATAAAAAAGTAAAACAAAATGGCACCAAATAAATATCATTTAAGATACTATTTTTCTGTATTAAAAGGAAATGCTGAAACAATAAAAATAAATCTTACTAGAAGCACTCTTTAAATGCTGAGCAAAAAGCTTGTAAAATCAGCAATTTAAGATCCACACTATTGGGAGGTAACAGCGTGGATAAAGGCCCAGGCAGAGAAGCTCTGTGCCCTCCCCAGGTACTAACACAGGCCCAAGGAGACTGGAAGATTCACAACACCTACAGACACTTAAAATCTGCATTCCTGGAGAACAAGGCAAAGATGTTTACCATATACCAAAACTATCACAAAATAATGCGTACATTATTCCAATTCTGAAAACTGTTTAAAAAAATGACTGCTGACTCATTATTGGAACGTGTGCTAATTCTCTTTAAATACTTCTACATTAAAAAAAGTATACTCTTTGTATACTTTAAAATTAGAATATATGTTCAATACTATAACTCAAAAGTACAAGAATAAAATGACAAGTAATTCTAGTGGAAAATTATTACCCCTGATACCAGTAATGGTAATTAAACTAGAATAGCAGAAAAGATAGTAAAGCTTTTTAGAAGGAATTAACTGGTGAGGTAAATTTTAGCTGTTAATATTTCATTATTAAGAAAATACATTTTAAATTCACAGTACATTCTAATCATAGTAACATAGAAAGGTTTTTAAACATACATCTCTAAATATAGGACCAAAGGAGAAATAAAGACTGCATAGCGAGACCACCAGCACTCAGTAAGGTACCAGAGTTCCTTTTTCTAATAATTAAAACATGCTTCTTTGAAATACCAATATAAACACACACCACTAGAAGTCACACACCAAAGAAACCTACTGACAGCTGAGAAACCACTGCCCCCAAAGGGCTATTTAAATCTGAGGGGAGGAAAGTGTATTTATCTCTTCAGACTTTAATTATAAATAATACTTGATCACAAATCACTCCTAGGAGAAAAATATGAGGTAAGCTAAAATCAGTCTATGAAAAAGATTTACCACAGAAATCTTTATAGTCAAAATACAAGCAAACTGAATTTTCAAGTGCACTAAGGATAAATACGCCAAGCAGCTTTTATTCCAGGAATGCTTAGAATGACTCAGTATACTTAATGTATCTGTGTACCAAATCAGGCTTGCATAAATGCAGATTCTCCATCAGTGAGAAGAAGAGCATCTCTGATTTGGGAGAACTCGAGCACGGGCACCCAGCTAGCTCCACCACCCTCAGCAATAATAATCTGGGAGAAGCTACAGGATCTTTGAAGCTAAAGGCATTTGCTGCTCATGCTCCAGGAACGTCCTCGACCTTCTGCCAGGCTGCATCTCATCACCTGACTGACTAATTACCTTGGCACTTCCCGAGACCACTAATGGTACCAGTGGAAGGAGTTTTGGTTCCAGTAACGTGACAGATAACCTGAAAACCCTCCTGCTTCAAATATTAGATAAATCATAATACACATATTTTTACCTGCACAACTGAGCTCCTGATAAGGAAATCCTGAGGGCCAGCAGTTACGAAGGAGCTAAAAACCACAGGGGACAGCATGGAGCAGGGCCCAGTTCTGGCTGGTTGTGTGGTGGCTTGAGTGTCTCTGAATCCAGAACTGGGTTCTTATCTCACACAGGACACAGAAGTAGATCTGAACTCCCTATAAAGCCAGGATGACCCCAGAGGCTACAGGGGGACAGGGACCACATGGAAACCCATCACTGACACCCCCACCCTACCCCACCATGCTCGACTTGATGTCTAAATCTGAGCCATCCCTTCGAGGCTCGGACCTGAGAGCCTGGAAAAACAAAGCTAGCCTGGAGACTCATTTCTAAAAGCTGCTGAGGAGTCTGTAACTCCGAGTATGTAAGCATGCAGACACAGCTCAGGTGGGAATCAGAGAAAACCTCCCCTGAAGATAACTGAGTGACCCTGGCTGGAACTCGTCCTCAGAGGTCAGGGGCTCCACCTATGAGCCCTGCGCCGGCCCCTCTAGTCCTCATCCCTCAGTTTACACCCCCACTCTTTAGCCATCCTCAGATATGCAACCACTTCAGTGGATGTTTGCTATGTTTTTCCTCCACTAGAAACGGAGGCAGCACCGACTAGGTGTTACTTACAGCTGTATCTAATAATGTGCATCCCAGTGTTTCCTGACTGGTTGAATGAACGAAAGAGAAACAAGAAGGTATGAATTAAACACGGGAGGTATGATGACACCAAACATTAATTTTACCTACGGAAGTCACAGCAGCAGGACGTGAATCTCTGGAAGCTCTACACAGAGGTATCATTACACACCAGTGAGAAAGGGACTCACTACTAAAACGGTCCTGAATTAAAACCCAGTCTGGGGGAGGAAAAGATAACCTCACACCACAGTAAAAACAAATTCCAGGTAACTGAAGACTCAGTGGAAAAGAACCAAGTACTTATTTCCTTGTGGATTATTAGCATGTAATTGGTTTCCTCTGGATTGTTGTTGATTCCTGGTTGCATGGAGTATCAAAGAATTATTGTGAAGCTCCATTAGGAAAAAATAAAAATGGCAAAATTTACCTCTGAGGTCTGCACACACAACCCCATCATGACACACAGGTTTTAACATCCTAATACTGGTATTCTCTTAATTTTTTAGTCATTTTGCAGGTATCTGGACACCAAACCACTGTTACAAGCGATGTGTGGAGATCATGGTTTCCAAACAGTGTCACTTTTGGCTATTGATATTTTGACAGATAATTTCTGTGAATTAGAGTGTTTAACTTCGATTTAGTTAGATGCCTATTAGATGTCCACCTCCCCTCCGACCCCAGCTGTAACAACCAAACTATCTCCAGATGGTGCCAGGTGGAAGCCAAGTCTTTAGAAGAGACTATCTTTCTGACCTTAGAAAGTGAAGGATTTTATTAAACAAGACTCAGAAAGCACAAACCGTAAAGGAAAATACCAAAAGATTCTGCAATCTGTCAAATGCCCTAAAGGGAAAAGACAAGACTACAAAGAAAGAATAACCAACAAAGTAGGTGCTCCAAAAAAAAATAAAAGGATGCTTAAATACATTAAGAACTATTTACAAATCATTAAGAAAAACACCCTTCAAAAAATAAGG